ACACGTGTCAGCGTACGAAGTCCTCGCGACAGCGCAAGGCAGGACTTTTGCAGCCGATTCCACCGCCCGACCGCCCTTGGCAAGTAGTTACAATGGACTTCATCATGACATTACCGCGCACAGTTAGGGGTCACGACGCGATCTTCGTGGTAGTGGATAAGTTTTCTCGAGCAGCGCATTTCATCCCCACGCACGGTCAGGTCACAGCAGAGGAAGCCGCGACGCTGTTCGTAGATAACGTAGTCCGACTGCACGGGGTTCCAGATTCCATCATCTCAGACCGCGACCCTAGATTCACCTCGAAGTTCTGGAAGCAGCTTTTTGCACTGTTTGGGACTCGCTTAGCCATGTCGTCTGCGTACCATCCAATGACGGACGGACAGACTGAGCGCGTGAACCAGACCTTGGAGCAGATCCTTCGCAGCATCACGATGCACGACGCAGCAGCATGGGACAAGAAGCTGAGCATGGCAGAGTTCGCATACAACAACACGCACCACTCCGCCACAGGCATGTCACCGTTCTTCGCACTGTACGGTCAGCACCCCAATGTCCCCACTCGTGTCGATCTCACACCCACTGTCCCTCGTGCGAACCATTTTCTACCAGCATCTGACCTTCATTCACGACCACGTGAGGAAGCACCTTGAGCTCGCAAATGCACGCATGGCACGCACCACCAACCGCAGTCGTCGTGAGGTGTCGTTCGCAGTCGGTGACCGTGTCCTTCTCGATAGCCGCAACCTCCGACTGCCACAGGACAGCAAGCTTCGTCCACGCTTCATTGGTCCATTCGTCATTGAGCGCGCACTTGGTCCAGTCGCATACCGCCTCCGCCTTCCCGCTCATTTCCGCATGCACCCATCATTCCACGTGTCTCTCCTTCGTCCTTACACCGATCCCAACGCCACCTTCTCGGGCCGTGATCGCACTCCACTGCCGGTAGCTGTTGACACCGATGAGCCAGACTACCAGATCCAGCGCATCTTCAGGCACCATCGCCGTCTCCAGGGGGGTGTCTCCTTCATCGACTTCTTGGTTCGCTGGCGTGGTTACGATGCAGCCGACGACAGCTGGGTTCCTTCGTCCTCGCTGTCTCCCGACAACGCTTGCCTCCGAGCGTACCTTCAGTCTGCAGGCGCCGCGGACGTCGCCTCCTTGGGAGGGGGGTTCAGCGCTTCGGCATGACCAGGCATGGCTGGCAACGAGGCGAGAAACACGAAGCACGTTTACCTAAGAGCAAAGCTCGCCTAGTATCCGGTTTGAGCGAACGAATTATCGTAATTCACGGAATAGCATACCGGTAGGAAAGGGGGACCGATCCGTGAAATGAACCCAGACCGTTGCGTGCATCTCCTTTCTGCACGGCCTGGAACCCCGTTTGGTCTGGGCAAGGGTGCTGGATGGACTGGGGGCACTGGCCAACTACATAGCACAAGAATCGTACATAGCACCTTACGAACAACGTGCCTTGCTTTGTCAATTCAAGCCAACAATATCCCAGAATGCAAATGGCTTGAAGGAGAAGTGTTAATTGTGTCGTATACCCCCTAATAAGACAAGTAGTTGACTGAAAACACTTACAGTTCAGTACCCAGCGTAGTACGCAAATAACAGGTGAAATGGATGAATTACAGGAAAGGTACAACAAGAGTGCAGAAATGGATGAATTAAGGACCAGCTAGAATACTGTATCTTCAGGTGCACGTCAACGAGAAGGGAGCAACCGCGTATTTAAATTGCAATCCACTCTTCCTTCTGACGAAGCCTGGAACCAGGTGCTTCCCGCGCAAACCTGCGACTTGGGCATATTAGCGTTTTTAGCGATATCGTTACTCGCTAGAGAGGATGTCTGTTTGGTATGCACTACCGGTAATATGTTGAATGACGTTATGTGGACCCTCATGATACGTTTTAGATTACATACGCGTTACAGTTTATGTACGAACGACTGAGCAATTACATAGGTAAAAGAAATCAGAGTAATACGCTTCTTTTGCGCCACCTTGTAGCGCGTTATGCGTCCTTTCTGGACAACGCTGCCTCCAGCTACCAACGCGGGGCGGATCCACCACTGGCCACGTTGTGTTACACTGTCGACAGCGATATTCTAGCTGGCATCGCCTTCCCCCGAACAGCCTGAAATGGTCGTCGATCTTCAAGCACCCAGCCTCCAGTGGTTCTGGCGGAGCAAGTTGAAAACATGGTTGGTGGGGGTTTTGCAAAACGCACGACAGCTCAACCGCGAACGCGCTTTCGCGAACGTGGTGCGTTGGCGATGCAGTATCTCCAAAGATTTGTCTTTTCGTCAACGCACCGCCACCAGATCATTTGGAGGAAGGCTGTGCCGAAGCGCACATGTGAAATTGCTGAGGATACAAATTCCCACCTCCATTGCTTCAGTCCATCACAGGTTCACAGTTCGAGCTTCGACAAGTCAACTCACCACGTCCCAACTTTCCTTTCCACCATTAGACTCGATCATCTCTACTGATAGTATCCCGTAGAACCGTCATGGCACGCTCAAGTATCGCTCTAGCCCTTTCCTTCTGCGTCATTTTCCTTCTGGCGGTTGCACCTCGTGCTGCGGAGGCGAGGCGCAGTCGCTTCGCGGAGACACAGGAAACCCTGGAGGAGATCGCGATTCGCCTACGAGCCGCGGCGGATCAGGCTGCTGCTGATCTGGACGCGGCAAAGGCCGTAGCCGTAGCTCGCGCCGCTGAAGAAGCAACAGCAGCCGCCAACGTGGCAGCAGCGGAGACTGCGGCGGTGAAAGCCGCGGCGGATTGGCAGGCAGCAAACGCGGCGGCAATCGCGGCGAAGGCCACCGCGAAGCAGGCGCGGAAGAACGCGACGGACGCGAAGCAGGCGACCGCGGGGCTGAAGAAGAAAGCGGAAGCCGCCGATAAGTACCAGAAGGCGCAGGAGAAGGCGCAAAAGGCGCTGGAAAAGGCCGCACAAGCGAAGGCGCGGAAAGACAAGGCCGCGGCGGCAGCAGGCGCACAGCAGAAGACCGCCGACGACGCGACCAAGGCGGCGGCGGACGCCGCCAAGAGCAAGGGGAAGGGCAGCGGCGCTGCGAAGGCAGCGGAGGCAAAGGCAAAGGCGGAGCAGAAGAAGGCGGCTGAGCTTAACAAGGACGCGCAGAGCGCATCCGCGGAAGAGTCCGCCGCGAGCGCGGAAGCAACCAAGGCCACCGCGGAGGCGGCGCGGACTCTCAAGGTGACCCTCACGCCGGAGGAGCAGGCGCTGCTGGACAAAGCGGCTGCGGCGGACGCGGCGGCGGCGAAGGCGGAAGCGGACGCGAAAGCAGCGGAGGACGCGGCAAAGGCGGCGGAGAAGGTGGCGAAGGCCGCGGCGGTGCGGCTGACGAAGCTGCGGGCAGCGTTGAAGGCTGCGCAGGCGCGCAGAGCGGAGGCGGACAGGATCGTGGCGGAGAAGGCTGCAGCTGCGGAGGCCGCGGAGGCTGCGGCGCAGGCAGCGGAGGCGGCTGCCAGAGCCGGTGCCCCTGGCTCGGAAGGTGCGCCTGGCTCGGAAGGTGCGCCTGGCTCGGAAGGTGCGCCTGGCTCGGAAGGTGCGCCTGGCTCGGAGAGTGCGCCTGGTTCTGAGAGCGCGCCTGGCTCAGGTGCTGCTCCGGGATCCACGGCGGCTCCGTGACTTCCTTCCACTGGCATAATGAAGAGATGGATGGTCATTCTTTATGATGAAAACAGCTGAGTCTTGACAGGACTATGGTTGCGTCGTGCTGTTTGTTTAGTGAACAATGCTCTTAGTGGAAAAGAGCAGAGCTAGCTAGGGATTGCTTCATTGTCATTCGTTTGTTTATTAATTTCATTTGTACATCAAGCTTTGTGTGATAGTGGGATCAGGATTCAGCATCACTGTTGCTACATGGCCCTTTTGAGCCTCTGGCTGTACAGACGGTTCTGGCAACAGGCACAGCCCCTCTGGCCATTCCAAAAGGCAGAGTTTCTTCCAGGGTTAGCCGAGGAGGGTGCTCATGTTCCTCATGATGCTCATGTTCCTCATGACTCTCACGTTCCTGATGATGCTCATGGTCTGTACAGAACAAGTCCATACCAGGCAACAAAATTCCACTCCTTCAATTTGAACACACAACCCCCTGCCCTGTCATATATGGTCCAGGTCACTTACACACAACTACACCTCATGTGCTTGCCTCTCAATCCTCCCACTTGCATCCAATCAACACAATGCCATCAGCATTCTCATGTCAACATTGCTAACTTGCTACAGTGTTAGTTGATCGCCCAGCACGACCCTGCTAAAAGGAGGAGCCAGGGAGAGCAGCGCCTGCAGAATCTGCTTCAAGTTGGCCCAGGATGGCACTAGTTTTGCGTCAACTCGGCGCAAAAGACGCCTCCCTTGAGGCGAGTCACCTCACCACCATACATATCACTTCTTCTGAGTCGGCTCAAAAGTGGCCTCTTTTAGATTCCCCTAGCAAATCACCTCTTTTGTCAAAAGACGGGAGAAGCGCCTGCAGCACCTGCTTCAAGTTGCCCCGGGAGGGCATGGCAGGTGGAACGTGCGAGCAGAGGAATGCAAGGCACGCCTTGAGCCCGTCCTTGGTGAGAGGGAAGAGCGGCGCTGCAGCACATGCCTGTCCTTGTGCTGCTGCTGCTGCTGCTGCTGCTGGTGGTGGTGGTGGTGGTGGTGGATGTTGTTGCTCCTGCTGGTGCTTCTGCTACTGCAGCGGATGTTGGTGGTGGTGGTGTTTGCGGTGCAGCTACTGGTGTTGGTGGTGGTGCTGCTGCGGATGGGTGGGCGAGGAGACAGAGGAAAGAGGAAGCAGTAGTGCTGTGAGCGGGAATTTTGAGAGTGCCTCAACAGATGGTCGCAAATGAGAGCAGTATTACCGTACTTAGAGTGACAGATAAATGAACGTGTGGGAACGGTATGGCGGTTGGTGAGGGGAAGGAGGGGAGAAATGATGAGAGACTCAACCTCAAGGTGATGAGTTGAAGAAAGAAACTTACAGGCATGAGAGAGTTCGTGGGGCAGGGCTAAGAGGAGAGCGGCACAGATGCACACACTCAAGTCCACACCTGCACATGCCATACCATACCATGCCATGCCATGCCATACCATGCCATGCCATACCATGCCATGCCATGCCATACCATGCCATGCCATACCATGCCATGCCATGCCATACCATGCCATACCATGCCATACCATGCCATGCCATACCATGCCATGCCATGCCATGCCATGCCATACCATGCCATACCATGCCATGCCATACCATGCCATGCCATACCATGCCATGCCATACCATGCCATGCCATACCATGCCATACCATGCCATGCCATGCCATACCATGCCATACCATGCCATGCCATACCATGCCATGCCATGCCATGCCATGCCATGCCATGCCATGCCATGCCATGCCATACCATGCCATGCCATGCCATACCATGCCATGCCATACCATGCCATGCCATACCATGCCATGCCATGCCATGCCATGCCATACCATGCCATACCATGCCATGCCATACCATGCCATGCCATGCCATGCCATACCATGCCATACCATGCCATGCCATACCATGCCATGCCATGCCATGCCATGCCATGCCATGCCATGCCATGCCATGCCATACCATACCATGCCATGCCATGCCATACCATGCCATGCCATACCATACCATGCCATGCCATGCCATACCATGCCATACCATGCCATGCCATACCATGCCATGCCATGCCATGCCATGCCATGCCATACCATACCATGCCATGCCATGCCATGCCACGCGCCAGAGAAGGAAACAGAGGGATCAGATCAGAGAGGCATTGAAGAGAAGACCAAGTTTTTGGAACGTCTTGGAACGTCTCAAATCACCCGATCGACATATCGCAGAGCGGAGACGTGGGTTTGCACCAGAGAACCTGCAGGCTACTCAGCTGAGGGAACTAACTGCTGGATTGGAGAGACACACAGCCAAGTCCCGTCTTCGAGCCGCCGCCAGCGGGGGACAGAAACCCCCCTGAATGGCGGCACTGGCAGGGAGGGACGGCATGGCGGCAGAGGAGACGAGCAGTATACCGTGCTCAATTCAAAGAGCTCCCAAAGAACAAGCCATCGCAGGTGGACTTCCCTCAATGAACGCACAAGCAGAGAGGGGCCGCGTACCGTCAGGGCAGATGAGCAGCAGGCGGTGGTGGAGACGCAGGTGCTTGCGAGCAAAGGCCAGTGCTGCCGGGATGTGGCGCGCTATGCAGAGCCGGTCGTACTTGGATGACTGCATAGGAGGGGAGGCGAGGAACAGGACACGCAAAGTGACTCCAACACTGCAGTGAAAACGGACGGTAATACGAGCTTGAAATGGCAAGGTCGGGGAGAGGAGAGAGGTTGTGAGCACGAGCAAAGAGGGGCGGGAAAGGGACCCTTATCAGAAAATTCATGGGTGGAAATGAGTGGAAATTGCTTGAGTGTACCTTGAGTGGCAAGTAGATGTGAAATAGCTCCTCATAGATACCCTCACCACCCTGCTGCACCTGCTGCTGCTGCTGCTGCTGCTGCTGCTGCTGCTGCTGCTGCTGCTGCTGCTGCTGCTGCTTCAGTCTCAGCTCTGAACCGCCCTCCTTGCCACTCTCAACCCCACTCTCCTCCACAATCCCCTTGCCAAGCCCCCTCTCAATCCCTCTCCCAGTCGCTGAGCCGTGAGTCTGCGTCTGGCTGTCCAGCAGCGCCATATGAGGAACCTCAGAAGTCCCTGTCGCTGCACTGTGCGTCTGCGTCTGGCTGTCCAGCAGCGCTCGCAGCCCGGGTTGCAAGTCCACTCCACATGCTATCACCGCGAGAGGCAGGAGAGACGATTTTTGAGGCGCCTCAAAAAAAGACAGCGGCATGGAAGACGGGACTTGTGCTGTGGTGAGATGGGGCGGAGAGAGGGGTATACGAGGAGGAGAGGTGAGGGCAGGGCAAGAGCCATGAGCCTGCGTCTGGATGTTCAGCAGTACTTGCAGCCCGGGTGGTAGGTCCACTCCACTCCACATGCTATCACCGTGAGAGGCAAGAGAGAACGCGGGAAGGACGACGGGACTTGTGCTGTGGGATGATGGAGAGCAGGGGGAGAGGGGGGCAGGAGGAATGAGGGGGGCAAGAGGAGGGAGAGAGTCGACTCAAAAGTGGGTAGGTGAGAAGTACTAGCGCATGCAGCCCACCTGTCTGCTTCTGACAGCGCATGAATGTACGTCATGGGCCTGAACTAGCTCACCTGCAGCGGCCACAGCAAGAGGCAGTTGAGCAATCCAGTGCACACCATCAGAACGGTGACCACCATTTGAAACCATGCTGCCTCCATGCTCGTGCCCCCCCTGCTGCTGCTGCTGCTGCTGCTGTTGTGGTTGCTGTTGCTGCTCTTGCTGGGTCCCTCTTCCTCCCACGTGTGTCCCAATCACAGTATGTCTTCCCTCCAATACTGAGTCCGCACCACCACCACCATAGGAAACTGCCTCCTCACTGCAACCACTCATTCGCTCCTCCCTGTCTACCTCTTTCCTTCCCACCTCCCCCCTTCCCACCTCCTCCCTTCCTACCTCCTGCATCCGCTTCCCTGCGCCTCCACCCCCACATTCCCCCCCTCCTCTCCCGGTCCCCTCCCCCTCCCTCCCCGCTCTCTCCCTCCCGCCTCTCTCTCTCACTCTCACCTGCGGAGCATGTTCCCCTCTCCTCTGCCTTCTCACCCTCTCCCTCTCCACCACGCCAGCCACAGCAGCATTGCACGCGCGCGGCCCAGTCCCAAGCACCTCCCTCCAGTTACCCCAGAACAGCTGGGGAGTCAACCCCCTCGCCCAGCTCTCCTCGTCGTCGCCCGCCCCTTGAATATACGTCCACGGCTCGTCATACCATGAGTTTTCCTCTTCCACCTCTTCATCGCTCTCACTGTCTCTGTCGCTGTCCTTGCCATTGTCACTGACACTACTATCAGCTCTTCCAACCACCTCCTCCTCTCCCCCCTCCTCCTCCTCACCATCCCTTTCTGCTTTCTCCCCTCTCCTCGCACTCCTCACCCGCCCCACTAATCGGCCCAACTTTCCTTTCTCTTCGCCCAAGGATAATACGGAGGGGCAGGGAGGGGGGCAGCCCGAGGGGGAGGGGGCGGAGGCGGAGACGAGAAGGAGGGGGGTGAAGGGGAGGGAGTCAGGCAAGGGTACCTCGTTCGTCCAGATGAGTGATAACTGGGACACCCACAGCACTCGCAGCGGCTTCTGCAGTCTGCCCACCCGCCCCTTTCTTCCTCTGCTGTGCCTGTTGCTGCTCCTCCTATTACCCTCCTTTTCTCCTCCATTCCCTCCTGTCGCCTCTCGCGCTTCCCAAATCCCATCTCCCTCCTCCCCATCCCCTCTCTTTACTCCCTCCTCTCCTCCCTCTCTCACCTCTTCCTCCTCCCTCTCCTCTCCTATCTCTTCCCCCTCACCCTGCGCCTCTCCAAACGCCAGGCGATGCAGGGCAGCAGGGGGAGCCATGAGCAGCAGCCGATCCACCCAAGCATCTAGCCGCTGCTCTATGCTCGCCTGCTCCGTGCTTGACACCCACCGCGGCAGGTGCAATGCCTCGTCCCATGCTGGGCTTGACTCACGCGGGGTTGAGGGTGACGGTGACTCAGGTGGGGCCGCAGCGGTGTTTCCCCCATGTGCACGTTGTTGTTGTTGTTGTTGCTGCTGCTGCTGCTGCTGCTGCTGCTGCTGCTGCTGCTGTTGTTGTTGCTGTTGTGGCGGCTGTGGTGGTGGTGGTGGTGAATCGGACTTGACATGATTCAGTTCATTCTTCTTCTGCTCCCACTGCTTGCTCTGATCTCTTGCCTCCCCCTGCGCCCTGCTTTCCCCCTGCGCCCTGCTTTCCCCCTGCGCCCTGCTTTCCCCCTGCGCCCTGCTTTCCCCCTGCGCCCTGCTTTCCCCCTGCGCCCTGCTTTCCCCCTGCGCCCTGCTTTCCCCCTGCGCCCTGCTTTCCCCCTGCGCCCTGCTTTCCCCCTGCGCCCTGCTTTCCCCCTGCGCCCTGCTTTCCCCCTGCGCCCTGCTTTCCCCCTGCGCCCTGCTTTCCCCCTGCGCCCTGCTTTCCCCCTGCGCCCTGCCTTGCCTTTATCATCCGTCCTGCTCTCCCCACAACTTTTAGCTCCCCCGTTCTCCCCATGCTCCCTCCTCTCATCCCTGCCCCGCTCTCCCCCCCTCCTCCCGCGCCCCCTCCCGCGCTCCCCCCCGCGCGCGCACGCGCTGCACGGCGCGGTTAACGACGCACGCCCAGATGGGGATGGTCTTGGACAGGCTGTCAGGAAACACCTTCCCCCGCCGCGTCGCGTCCACTATCATCGCGCCGCCGCTGCGCGCTGCCGCGGGAAGAGCCAGCGGGCGGGTTGGGGGTTCGGAAATGGGGAAGAAAAAGGGTGGGGGTGGAAGGGAGGGAACGGGTAAAGGGAGGGGAAAGGGGTAAAGGGAGGGGAAAGGGGGAAACGGGGGAAAGTTGGGGGAGGAGGGGGTTTGGAAGGGGGAGAGGGCGAAGGATGTAGTGGGATGGGATGGGAGGGAAGAGATGGGGGATTAGGGGACTGCGAAAGCGGAGAGATGATTGGCGGAACAAGAGGGGTTAGACCTGCCATGTCTGCCACGTGGAGGTTCATTCGCGTCACGCTGAAATCCCAGTTTCCCGTGTGTCCATCCGTCGACTTGAAGTAACACGTGGCAGCCACATCATCGGGCGGCGCGTACCACAACCCGCAGCGCAGGTTCGCCAGCAACGGTAACGTCGGCCAGAGCGCGCGAATCTCGCGCACGAACGAGGCGTCCAAAAGGATCGAACGCAGCGCGTTGTACACGGTGGAATCGGCGCGCTTTATATCGCGTACGACTTGGTACAAGTTCCTGCCTCCGCCGCCGCCGCCGCCGCCGCCGCCGCCGCCGCCGCTGCCGCTGCCGCTGTCGCGAAAGTTCTCAACGCTAGCAGCGCGCCGAGTCGTCGCCGCCATAGAGATCGAGACGGACAGTGATCGAACCCCTGACACGTTTCAAAAGGCGGTCATCAAACCCCCACCAAGGGCTCCTGAACTCGTCGATACACTACATCATTGCTCCGCTTCGAAAAGAGATGGTTCCCCTCCACGTTACCTCCCCCCACCACGCCTCCCCTCCCAGGTTTACGCGTATCTAACGGGATGATCCAAAATCTGCGATTGGTGGTGTTCTCTGCACTCAACTTGCCTGAATTCGCGGAGTATTAAAGCTGTTAGTTCTGTTAGTTCTGTCCTATAACGGGGATACGCGAGGCGGCCTTGCCCTGATCCAGTTGAAATGGCTGGTAAAGTTCCACAAATTAGCTGCATAAACAGGTGTACAACCCGATTGTTCGCAAGTGGTGGAAGTGTATCATTCTAAAAACTCGTAGAAGCGGAACGCGGAGCCGCTTGCAGCGCAAAGAAACACTCTCCTCCCTTTTTCGCCTCAACGATTTCAGCCATTCTGCTCCGCTGCAGCGCCCAACTCTCTGGGCCAGCAGAGTTGATCATTCGTATCACAAACCGATAACAAGTCGCTGAATCGTAGGAAGTTCGCAAAAGCGTTCCCAAGAATACGTGGGTTAGCGGCCTCGCCGACCATGGCGATGCTGCCGCGGATGGGCGAGGAGACGATCGGCGAAGTAAACGGGATTCTGCGTAAGCGTTACTGTTCATGCGTACAGTACCTCCCGCTTCCGTTACCTTAGATTGCGATTTCGATGCATGGATAGATGGATCGGGGTGAATTCTGAGTCGACTCATTACTCGTCGCCTTGGGTTTTTTTGTTTTTTGTTTTTTTTGTTTTGTTTTTTTTTTGTGTTTTTTTTTTTTTTTTTAATGAACGACGTCGCATCGCACTTTCGCTGCCTCTTTCCGGCATTCGCCGCGCGCTCATGGCTAGGGCCTCTTTCTGCAACGGGAATCGTTTTTTTCTGTTTTTCTGAAGTTTCTTCTACATACCGAAGTTTCTGGTTGAAAACGTGTTAATCTCACATCATCGCTTCCTAGACCATACCGAACCACACCACCCCATACCACACTTATACCATGCATCCTGAAAACATCCCGTTCCGACTCTTCCCATCCCATCTCGTCCTATCCCATGCCATGCGTGCGAATCTCTCCCTGGCATGTGCTCAAACGCCAGTGACATCCAGGAGGGATGTGGATGCGAGCACACGAGACGCCTACACACATCTTATGGTCGCCACCAGCTCTCCTCCCTCCCCTCCCCTCCCCCTCACCACTGCCTTCCGTGCCTTGCTCTCTTCCTTCCGTCATTCCCTTCCGCCCCTTCCTTCTATTCCTTCCGTTCCTTCGCTCGTCTCCCAATTGCCGCCCTCGTGTCCCTCTAACCATCCCTCGTCGTTGTCGCCGCCCCCATCCCGCCACACCCTGCCCTCATTTATATCACTATTGTACGACAATGTTGTGAAAATGAACTGCAGTACCATGACATTTCAATGACCATTTTGTGCATCAGCAGGCAGGCACCGTCTTAGCAGCCGTAGCAGCAGCAGCAGTGGCAGCAGCAGCAAACTGAGTGTATCCTTTCTTGAACCGTTGTTTCTTCCTGATCAAGTACTACTCTTTTCATCAACCTGCCATTCTGCTGTCGTATCAGGACACCCTGTTCTCTTCTCTTTCCCCGCACATCCCTCCCTCTCCCTTCCCACCGGCCCCCATCTCCCTGCACCGCACAGCACCATGCAGTACTGGACATCCCTCTGGCTGCAGTGAACCCAGTGGATCTCGCGTTCGAGTCCACTCCTCTGCTCATTATCAACGGTTCTCTTCTTCCCACTGCTGCTCCCACTGCTGCTCCCACTGCTGCTCCTGCTGCAACTGCTGGCGGTGCTCCTGCTGCTGCTGGCTATGGCGTCTTCTCCACCACTCCATCCCGCACATCCCCTGGCCCGGTCACCCCTCCTCCTTCCACTCCTGCTGCAACCGCCGCTGCTCCAGCATCCCCATCCACTCCCCTCACGCCCTCCACGCCTCCTTCGGAATCAGCAGGGGCAGGCGGAGGGGAAGGGGAGAGGAGCAGCAGCAGCAGTGCGCGGAAAGCAGCAGGAACACCGTATTCTCCGTCGGTGGTGGCGTCTGGTGGGCGGTCGGGGGGAGGAGGGGGAGGGAGAGGGAGTGGAGGGTCCCTGATGGATGCTGCATTGGATGCAGTGATGCGGTTGCAGCACATGGTGAGTCGGAAAGGGGGGGGGGGGGGGGGGTTGGGAAGGGGGTGGGGAAAGACGGGAAGTAAGTAAGGACTGCTGTATGGGTGGAAGCATGCTTGCTGTGGCATGTCATATCATGGTGGTGTGCTTTGGAAGGACGCTGTGGATGTGAATGTTATGATCACTGTGAATGAATGTTTGTTATGGCTTGTTGGCAATGGCATGTCAGCCTGACTTAAAGCTCAAGGCCCAAATTGCGGGCCGCGCTGGGCAAGATTACTAATCTTGCTGAGCGGCTGTTTGGGTGCTGTGAGCTGGCGAATTTTGGGTTACACTAGGTACGAATGAATCTGATTGGTCGAGACCAAACTCACCGCGCAAACTTCATGTTTCAGTATTTCTCAATTTGGGACTATCGGACCCAAACAGAATGTTTGGCCCAGAGTTTGCTGACTCAGCAAGTGACGAAAAAAGCGAACCCCACTTTCTCGACTTTCTGTTCACCTCCCAAACCACCAGCCCAAACCCTTGCGCAAGATTACTAATCATGCGCAATTTGGGCCTTGAGCTTTAACCGATCAGATCACTTTGAATGGTATGGCTTGTCGGTTACTTACTTCCTCGCGTGTATCATTGGTCACTTCTCTGCGCACTTCCTTGCTGGAATGAAATCTTCCCAAGTGCATTCTCCGCCATCCGCCCCCCTTTTTCCTTCTTCAATGAACCCTTTCCTTTCCTCCCCTCTCCTCGCTCTCCTCCCTCCTCTGATGAGAAGGGACCTCCAATCCAACCACCCTACTCTCCGTCACCCCTCCTCCTCCTTTTTTTTCAACCCCTATGCCTGCAGTTCCCTACGTTCTGTGACATACCAAAAACAAAGACCTGTTTGCAATGTCTCAAACCTCTTCCACCACACCAATACCACCCTTCCATCTCCCCTCCCCTTCCCACCCCTCTATCTATCCGTGCAGCTGCCTGCGTTCCTCGCGTCCTCCCCTCCGCCCCCGCCCCCCACTCGCCCGCTCATAGCATGGCACCGCTTCTCACCACGCCTCCTCGCATCGGGCCCTCTCGACCGCCTGCTTCTCTTCGACCTCCATGCTTCTGCTCTGCACTCAGGTACCTCCCTGCCTGCCTGTCGGCCTTTCTGCCTCTTTCCGTTCCTGCTTTTTAGAGAGCCTTGAAAGCCCTCTCAACCGCCTGCTTCTCTTCGACCTCCATGCTTCTGCTCTGCACTCAGGTGCCTGCCTCCCTCCCTGCCTTCCTGCCTTCCTGCCTCCCTGCCTCTTTCCATCCCTGCCTGCCTGCCCCGTGCGGCGTGATTCTTCTCTTCTCCTCTCGGTCTCCCTACCCTACCTTCCCTTCTCCCCACACATGGCTGGTTGGTCCGCTTTCTCTTTCCGCCTACCTGTCTGCCCGCCTGCTTGCCATTGAGTTCATGCTTCAGCGCACTTGCCAGCGCACTCCCTGTATGCCATGCTGTGTGCTTTCCTTTCCTTCTCCCCCTTTCCTGGTCGTCACCACACCATTACTCCTTTTACCCGCGGCCCGCCCACAACCCTCCCCCCTCCCTCCCTCCTCCCTCTTTTCACCGTACCCCTGTTCCACCCCACGACCTCTTCCTTCCTTTTTTCTCTGTCCGCTCCCCTTGCCTGCATGCATCACCTTTTGAGGCGTCTCAGAAGTTTTTTCTCTTTCCACTCCCCTCGCCTGCATGCATCACCGATTCACCTCCCCCAGGCCCCTCGCTCTCCCCCCCACTGCCCTCCATCCTTCTGCACGAGCTGCAGCGCCACGTGTCATGTGTTGATTGGCGGCCCAAGGCAGGCGCCACCCTGGCTGTGGCGTGCAGGTGAGGTGTGGGCAGCGGTGTTGGGAGATGCGAGGAGATATGGGGAATTGAATGGGAGGGGACGGGGGTTGGTGATGGGCCCTGGCATGGGATGGCTGGGATGGGATGGGATGGGATGGGATGGGGTGGGATGGGATGGGATGGGATGGGATGGGATGTGATGGGATGGGATGGGATGGGATGGGATGGGATGGGATGGGATGGGATGGGATGGGATGGGATGGGATGGGATGAGATGGCATGGAATGTGATGGTTGGAATGGGGCATGACTTGGGTGGGATGGGGTGGCTGTACAATTCAGCATCGCAAGGCATCCCTCCTCCTTTATTTCATATCCTCCCCCTCCTCTTATCCCTTCCTTTGCCTCCTCCTTCCCTCCCCTCCTTGCTCCCCCTCCCATGCTCCCCCTCCTATCTGTCCTCCTCCTGCTCCTCCATTAGTCGTCTCCCAAATCTCCCTCTTTCTATGTCCCCCGCCTCCCCGGCCACACCCCCCCCCCTTTTCCCCCGCCACAACCCCCCCCCCCTTCCCCCGCCACACCTTCCCCCCTCTCCCCCGCCACACATCCCCCCCTCCACACCCCACCACCACTATATCCTGCTTCGCAGGGCGGGCATCTGCCTGTGGAATCTGGCAGGGCCTCTCCTGGTGGAGGGGCCATCTGGGGGAGACACAGCTCTCTCCGGCATCACAGGGGCCAGCATGGGAGCAATCGGGGGAGGCGGGGGAGGATGGGGGGGAGGAGGTGGTGGTGGAGGGGTGGGGAGCGGTGGAAGGGGGTGTGTGGTACCGGCGTGCATGCAGTTTCTTGCCAGCTCGCCACAGCGGCAGCAAGGGGCTGTTACTAGTGTGGCGTTCAGCCCGTGTGGAAGATATCCTGCTCATCTGTGCTCTACTTTGCCCTTTTCTGCTCTGTTCTGCTCTGCTCCACTCTGCCCTGCTCTGCTCTTCTCTGCTCTGCTCTCCTTATGTTTTTTTCTCGGCCTTGCCTGCTCACTCCTCTCGTTTGCTGCTCCGTTTCCGCGGCCTCCTCTCTTCCCCCCTCTTTCCCTCGGCCACTCCCAGCTTCTATTCCTCACTCTTTTCTTTCTTTCCCTATTGTTGTTTTCTGCTTCCCCTTGTTGCTCCTTACCTCCTTGCCTGTCCTTTCCGGCTCCTTTTCTGCCCCTTCCCTTGATGCATCTGCCTGTTCTTCCTTAACTCGCTATATTCTCCTGTTGCCTGGGCATTCCTCCTCTTCCCTTCCTACCCCGTTCTCCTCCTCCTCCTCCTCCTCCTCCTCCTCCTCCTCCTCCTCCTCCTCCTCCTCCTCCTCCTCCTCCTCCTCCTCCTCCTCCTCCTCCTCCTCCTCCTCCTCCTCCATCCCAATGCTCTCCATTCACGATCCTTCTTGGTGCTACTTTGTCGCACATTGCTAGCATCAGCATCACACGCATCATCAACCATACTGATATGGGACGTTGCCACAGGTACCTTGTTATACATACATACATACATACACGCTACCTACTGTTGTCAACTTCCTTATCAACGTTCCATCCATGTTAAAATTGTTGTGCACCTTCTCTGCTGCTAGCTTGCTCAAACGTGCGTTCATTCGTTTTCAACCATTCATTGCCACTCCATTATCAGGTGTCGTATTGCTGCTGCTCCTGCTGCTCCGCTCCCACGACTCACTGCTCGCATCTGCCCCCCTCCCTCCCACCCACGCTCACTCCCTCCCTCTCTCCCTCGCTCATCTATCCTTCTCTGCCCCGCCCGTCCACACCAGGTGTGGCAACGCCATTGCGCCGTGGCTTTGCGGGAGTGAAGATGCTGCGCTGGTCTCCCCGTGGGGACTGCCTCTTCAGCTGCCTCTTGCCAAGCTCGCCCATTTATGCGGCGCAAAAATCCGAGCTTTCTCTCCCAACTCCCTTTCGCCCACACCAGGTGTGGCCACGCCCTTGCGCCGTGGGTTTGCAGGAGTGAAGATGCTGCGCTGGTCTCCCCGTGGGGACTGCCTCTTCAGCTGCCTCTTGTGCGACTCTATTTCCCTTCCCTCTACCCTGCTCTGCTCTGCTCTTTCCCTCTCTGCTCGAGCCCTAGTGGAACCACCCTAATATATGCGTGTATATATATATATATATATTATATATATATATATATGTTTCAAAATCTCCTTGCTTGCTTGTGACATTCCATAGTAGAACGTGCACCTGCAGTTGCCTCGCTAGCACCCCACCGCTTTCACACTCCATTGTTCACAGCATACCAAGCCCTGACTCACTCTATTTTTGAGGCACCTTAAAACTGAGACGATTTTTGAGGCGCCTCAAAAATCACTCCTTGTTCACAGCATACCAAGCCCTGACTCACCCACCTCACGTCTCGCCTACCTCACGTCTCGCCTCCTCCCATCTCTTCTTCATCTCCCTTCCTCTATGTCCCTCTCGCTCTCACATCCCACGGCCTGCGACCGCACTGCACCGCAGCGACGGCACATTCCACGTGTGGGAAACAGAGTCGTGGACATGCCAGCAGTGGTCTGTGGGCGCACAGCAGATCACCGTAAGCTCACTCACTCTCTTGCCTACTTGCCTATTTGTTTATGTGTTTTTTGCCTGCTGCCCGCCCGCCCGCCTGCCTGCCAGCCACCTTCGTGCTGCACTCACTCTTCGTAAGGTAACTGTTCACCCAGCAAAAAAAAAAAAAAAAAAAAAAAAAAATTTATGGTTCCGACCCTCCTCCTCTCGAACTTGCAGGCAGCAGCATGGAGTCCTGACAGCCGTGTGCTGCTACTCGCATTCCAGTCCACGCCCACCCTTGCCGCCGTGCACATAGCCCGCTCGCCCCCTGCACTGGGTAATCACAAGTTGTCCCCAGTATCCCACTCCACACCCTCCTCTTTTCCTCCGCTTCCCCATCCTCTTCCTCCCCTCACTTCAACCCTGTTTACGTCTTTGTGCTATCAAAATTGTCCCTTTTCCCACTGGCACCTGCCTATGCTCCAATTCTCGATTCTAACCTAACACTTCTGCCCTTGTCCCGCACGCCCATGTCCTTAACCCTCACCCGGAACTGCCACACTGCGTTACAGACACATATCCAGCTACTTTCGCTCCCTCCTTTCCACACCTGTTTTGACACGTCTCAAAAAACTGGTCGTTGTGCTCAAACGAAAATGAAACATCCTCATATTTGTGTTTCCTTTACCCCTCTCCGCACCGGCATCTGCCCCTGCACGCCAGACATCCACGTGCTGCCTCTGGAGCTGCCAGACCTCGCCTCCCTCATGATCGATCCCATCCCATGCCCCCCCCTGAATATTCCACCGTTGCGTTTCTTTTGCGTTTCTTAATTGTTTCCCTCTCCACGTTCTGCTCCTGCTCGCCAGACATCCATGTGCTGCCTCTGGAGCTGCCAGAACTTGCCGCCCTCATGATTGACCCCATGGTTCCACCTGAATTATCCACCTTTGGGTGAGTCCGTGTGAGTCTGTGCGAGTCTGTGCGAGTCTGTGCGAGTCTGTGCGAGTCTGTGCGAGTCTGTGCGAGTCTGTGCGAGTCTGTGCGAGTCTGTGCGAGTCTCTGCGAGTCTGTGCGAGTCTGTGCGAGTCTGTGTGAGTCTGTGCGAGTCTGTCGCTGTTTGTGCGCGACGTCTAGGATGCTGGTCTGGGATCCTTTCGTTTGGTCTGGTGGTAGTCCCCTTCCGCAACTGACTCTACATTTTGCATAAGCGCAGTGCGTTTGCCACCCTCAGGCTGACCAGACAGTGTCTGACCAGACACTCCACCCCTCTCTCCGCTATCATCATCCCTCCCATCCCATCCGCCAACACACAGGGGAGTGCAGGACATGGCATGGGATCCCACGGGCAGGCGTCTGGCCCTCTCCTTCTCGTCTGCGCGCATGGACACGGCTGGACTGGTGGCACTCTTTGATACTCACCTGGCGCCCATCCTCACCGCCACCCTCCTGTAACAACCTGCAACCCCCCGCCCACTCTCTGGTGCGACTTTTGAGAATTCTCAAAAGTCGCACCCTGCAACCCCCTGCCCACTCTCTTCCTCCTCCCTTGGCTCCTCTTCACTCCCATCTCTCCTCATCTCTCCTCATCTCTCCTCATCTCTCCTCATTTCTTCTCTTTTTCATCTCATCTGCTCCCATCTTTTCTCTCCGTCCTGTCGTCCACGTGTGACTCCCGTTTGTGGATGCGGTTACGAAATCTGTAACTTAGGGCCGTTATCAGCCGCACAGATTTGTCAAACCCCTCGTATTCTTACCCCCGAATCGCCTCATTTTTGTAAGCCCATGAGCAGCAGCATGTGCCACCATCACCACCCTACCATCATCTTCCCCGTCACCATTACCATCACTCCCACTCCCACTTTTGTCTTCTTCATCTACCCTCCCTCGCAGCGGTGTAATTCGAGGCCCGTCAACAGCAGCACCGCCACCGCCACCCCCGCAACCTGTGGCATCATCGTCCTCCTCCCCACCGCCACCACCACCATCCCCACCTCTGGCACAGGCAGGGGAGCAACCAGTTGCACCTCTTGCCATGTCGTTCCGTCCAAACTTCAAGCACGGAGCCTTTCTGTCTGTTGTAAGCCTTCCATTCACACCCCCCCTCTAACCCCCACCCCCCGCTTTCCTCCCCCCCCTTCCATACTTCCTCCCCGCATTTCAAATCTGTATGAACTCCATTTTCCATCCTGTTTCTCCTGTTTGTGAGCTCACTCTCTCACACGTCTTGCTGGCTTGCTAGTCCTGCCACCTGGTGTCCTCACCTCACCTCCCATCCCACCCATGCAGCTGTGGTCCTCTGGGTTCTGCCGGACATACCCGCTGCTCTTCACAGGCTTCTGAGTGCCTCTTTAAATGAAACTCGTGGTTTCAAGTTCAACGGGGTTTATTTTTCTGTATAGCCAGTGCAAGATCACATGAACTTCACATCTTCCACATTGTACCCATCAATGCTTTTTCTGGAGGACATGTGTGCAGCCCATTAACTGATCCACTCATGTTTTGTCCATGTAGTACAAGCATTAGGGTACATTCCTGAAGCGCGTCACAAAGGCCTCGCGTCTCAAACGAAGAGATGCAGTGCGGTGGAAATCTTCGATTCTTAATTTTAATGCGGTGCAGACCGGTACATTGGTTTTATGACGGGATTGAGACATTTGTGTCCAGACATTTGGTGGACTCAGAATTAAATAACACTAGCCAATTCCCAGCAAGGTGTACATAATACTGGTACAGTAAATTCCACCAACCATCACGGAGTTGGACGGGAAAGGATTGTGCCATTGCTCACGCGACCGCGGCTCCAGCCCCAGAACGTCTGACGTGGAAAACACTCTGCCGTGCCCACTGAAATTCCAATGGCACCTCTGGCGGCCTCCCTGTCAGTGACTGACGTCCACTGCCGATTCGTTTCGCACAAAACCAGAAACTAAATCTGCGAGACCGAACTCAACCGACCAAACAGTCCCTTGAAGTTTCCGAAGTGCTTTGGAGCTCAGTTTTCTCGAGTTATTATAACTAAGGTGAACGAAATTCAAGCCGCAACGAGAAACCATAAAGCCCATAATATTTTTTTTGTGAAGCCTAAGCTAGTTTGCCCCGCAAGCAAGCTTGTAGACTGGCATTGGCGTGCATCAGTACCAGTTACATGAACCTTCCAGGCCAAACTCGCTGTCCGTCGTTGCTTCGTGCATGTGCCATTCGCAAGTGACCTGACAGGCATTATCTTTATAAATTTCAAAAGTGTTACAAGCGCGTCACAAGATAGGCATTCTGGCAAGCCAACCGTCTCCCACCTTAAGCTACCCGCTGTGACCTTCGTAGCAGATTTTTTTTTTTGTTAGAATTCCCTTAGGCGCACCCGCCGCCGTGTCCCCTGGATACATGGCCGAACGTGGCGTAATTACTGCGCACCGATGACGGGAGCAACTGGCGATCCTTGAGCGCCACGTGGAGAGCCGCCGGCTCGCTAGTAGCAGCAATGGGCGCGGGGCTTGTATCGGAGACCCTCCACGCGCCCGCGTTCCTCGCGGGGTGGCGGCGGTGGCGCATCAGCCGGTGGGGGAAGTCCGCCGTCGTCGACCCTTGCCTCGCCATCTTCCGCCGGTACTTTGGCGGGGGGAATTGGGGATGGGGGGAAAGGGGAAAGCAAGATGAGTGGGAGTGGTGAGAGTGTGGTTCAATTCGTTGGGATCCCATTCTAATCGTCAAGGCACGCTTCTTCCCGGGTTGGAGTCTCGAGATGAGTGCGTAGGTTCCGTGAACCCATGCCAGCATGCAATCCCGTGACACATACAAAAACATCACACCATTTCATATCACACCACTTCCAAGGGGCTTCGTGCTCGTCCCAAGCACTTGAACACGATTTCTCCCCTAACTCTCTCTGTCCCTCCGTCCCTCCCAACCCTTCCGTTTCCCCCTCTCGTTCCCCACCAAAACCCACTCTCCCTCCGTCCCTCCTGCGTGCAGGGGAGCGGATCCGAAGCAGCTCGCCTTTTCTCTCTCCCTTGGCTTCGTCACCGGGCTCTTCCCTCTCTGCGGTACACCCACTTTTATCTAATCGCATGTTATACGCCCACTTATATCTGATCGCATGTTATACACCCACGCACGCACGCACTGCAGGTCGCACTGTCTACACGGCTGAAAGTTCTTGGCTTCGTCGCCGGCCTCTTTCCTCTCTGAATGTTCTTTCTACGCGTCCCACCTCGCCTTCTCCCTTCCACTCGCTCCTCACACCCCATCTTCCCTCCCTCTCGCTCCTCTCAATCAACCCACAATTCTTCATGCATTTAATCTCATGTCTCCATCGCTTTCCAACCTTGTCATTCCCTCTGTCATCTTCCACAATTCTTTCACCCTCTCTCTTCCCTCTCTCCTTCCACCCCAATTTCCCCTCCCACCTCCCCACTCCCTTTCCCCCATTTCTCCCCCTTTCCACCCCCGTCCGCCCAGGTCTGACAGCAGCGCTGTGTGCAGTGGTGGCGTATGTGCTGCGCACCAGGAGCCATGGTCCCACCATGATGTTTGCCACGTTCCTCGCCACGCCTGTGGAAGTCAGGTCAGCTGCTGCTCTGCTTCTCGCCATGCACGCTTGTGCTTTGTGGTCTTTCAGGCCTTAATGGTCTACTCAACAATATATCAACAACTCCCATAGTCCTCCTCCACTTCCTCCCCCCCCCCCCCCCCCCCCCCCCCCCCCCCCCCAACCCTCTTCCCTGCAAGCAGCCTCATAATCCCCTACATGCGTCTGGGAGAGTGTCTAGCACGGTCGGACCATCTCGCCATCTCGCCCACAGCACTGATCGCTGCGCTCTCCTTCTCTCACTCGGGGAGCAAGGCCTCCGCACGCCTTCTCCTCGGCCTGGTCCATGCGGTCAGTAAAATAAGGTCCATGAGCCGAGGCCATGAGGACCGCCTTCTCTCACTCGGGGGGCGGGTCACTAGGATGCTCAGTCAGTGCGATGCAGTCAGTGAAATGAGGTTTATGAGCTCCCATGGTTGCTGACCGCCCCACTCCTTGTGTGGCTCCTCTGCCAGTAGCTGCTGCCCCCATTTTGACTTTTGAAGCCTTCAAAGTTTGTTACTCTTATGTTCTCCCTCGCACACCAACAGGTTTATTGCATGGTTGCTTTTGAGAATTCTCAAAATCGCATGGTTGCTGGCAGGCAGCCCTTCTCCTCATGTGCCTCTTCAAACTTCCGACACGTTTCAAAGTTGTTGCCCTCTCCCTTCCTCTCAGACCATCAGGTGCTCGCAAGGTTGGTGACCGCCCTGCTCCTCGTCTGGCTCTACTACCGATTTCTGCTCCGCTTTACTCTGACTCTTGAGACTGTCTCAAAAGTTGCTCCTCCCTCTCTCCCTGTTCCCTCTCACACCATCAGGTGCTCGCATGGCTGGTGACCGCCCCTCTGCTTGTCTGGCTCTTCTACCGCTTGCTGCTTCCCTTGGCGGTTCGCTTCACGAGACGAGCACCCCTCTCCCATGTCACCACCGGTATAGTCATAGGCAGTAGCTCCAGTGTTGCTGCTGCTGGTGGCAGCGTTGGTGGTGCTGGTGCTGGTGTGGGTGGTGGTGGTATTGGCAGTGCTGGTGGTGTGCATGTTGCTGGTAGCAGTGCAAGCAGCATCACACATCCCACACACACGCACGCTGTGCACTCGCATGTGAATGCACATGCAGGGATGTATGCTGCCAGTGCACAAACGGATGTAACGCGTGGAGGGATAGGGCATGGTTCGATCGATGTCTTGGATCGCCAGGGAGGAATGACTTGCAACGCAGAGTTATTAGAAATGGCTGGCACTTCCATTCACTGTGCACACAGTTTCTTGAGCGTTAACACGCAGTGATGTATATTCATGCTATTTTCCAGCTGTGTTCTGTACTTCATGGCTGGTACCGGTACTTCTAAATAGTGTACAGATCGTCTCTTCCAGGCTTGTGGTCAGTTACAACTTAACGAGCTTCTCAGTTACCGCACTCATGCTCAATGAAATAATCCAAGAGCTTAGGAAGGAAGAGAGGAGTAATGCAAAATTGGCCAATCCAAGTATGGGTTTGAGTCTTCTCTTCTCTCATATACTTGTGGGAACAGCACAAGCAGCTCTCATAATCAGTCAGTCCTCGCGCTGCTGAAGCTGCACAGCCTTAAAACACTAAACTTAACTCGTCCCTGCCGTCTGTTTTTGTGGCGCCTCAAAATCAGCTCCCAGTGATCCAGCGCTCCTCCCCATGCTCCCTGCCATCCATCCATCGCCACCACCACCATCATCATCAGTCCTCACGCTGCTGCAGCCTCACAGCCTCAAACACGGCGCTGAAGTCGTCCCGGCCGTGCCCCTCCCGCCGCGCCTTCTTGAACACCTCGTTCGCTGCCGCCGCCACGGGGAGTGGCTGTGCCAACTCGTCGCCCAGGCCCAAAGCCAGGCGCAGATCCTGCATGAGTGGGTTGCGAGAGAGGAATTGCAGGTTGGGGTTTCAGCAAGTCGGTGGCTGTGCCAACTCGTCTCCCAGGCCCAAAGCCAGGCGCAGATCCTGCAGGGGTTGTGTTGTGACGGTCAGGTTTGGGATTCTGAATCTAGAAGTAGGAGGATGGCTTCTAAAGATTTGACACTTGGGGATTGGGTTGGAAAGCCAGACGTTGAGGCGTCTCAAAAGCATGTTTGCATTCAAATTTGAGTTTGCGGTGAGCAGCAGAGGCAAGGACAGAATTGAAGAGGGGGAACTAGGGAGGATGGAAGATAGGGGGGAGGGAGGGGAGTGAGCAAAGGGAAGGAAAGAGCAGAGCATATGAGAGAGAGAGAGAGAGAACGACAGGGGAAGGAACTGGAGCGGGTGAGGTGGTGCCCGTGCGGGAGAAACGCGCCAGTGAGGTGGAAGGAACGTGCCTTTTGCTGGTGCTTGAGTGGGAACGCGGGTGAGTAGTTGCCATCAATCATGAGAGGGCCCTTGAGAGAGAACATTGGGCTCGCGATGGCTCCCTGCTCTATCACCTGATGGTCAGGGGTCACCACGCAGTCATAGATATGCCAATGCCACATGCTTGTAGGCGCGATTGTGTGTATGCACATGTGTGAAAATGCGTGTTTGTGTGTATGCACATGTGTGACAGTGCGAATACAAGGAGACACACATATGTCAGCTACACGCATGAACAGCCATACCTACATATATGCTGTCAGCCACGTGTTCCCCTGCCTTTGAAAGGTGAGATTCTACTAGGCATTTGAGACTTTAATCTTGAGGCCACACAAAGAACAACATGGACCCTCTCCGGGGTTATCTAGGAGAGCTCACCTGCAGAATGGTGTTCTTATCTCACCTGCAGAATGGTGTTCTTATCCAGTCCCACTCGCTCTCCCAGTGCTAGCCCTTCAGCAAATGAAGCCATCATGCTGAGGTTGGGGAGGATTTAATGGGGAAGGTAGGGGGACGGAGAGAGGGGAGGAGAGGGGGCGAAGTACGGATGACTACGAGTGCACTGAGTCGGTCAACGGATTAAGCTGAATCTGTTTTCTGAAATTTCTAAAAAAACAGAGTTGGTGAACAGATTGATGCGGTATTCCTCTCTCAATACTCAGCAGCCGAATTACTTTTCAAGGCTGCCAGTGATGCGGGCTTAGGGTGTGGAACATCTCGATTGAGTTTGGAAAAGTCCGGACTGTCACCACTCCGTAACGTACTGTAACTTACAGAAACATAGTAGTTCACGAATAAACCGTTTTTAACCAATCATGAGGTCCGGTCCGGACGTTGCACACGCCCTTAAGGCCTCATCTAGCCTCAGCTGGCTTTCACATAAAAAAACCCCTCCTTCAAAATTCGCTCTAACAAGGACACAAGCGAGAGAAGCGCCCACCTGCCTGTCTTTGATTCGACTAAAAAAATCGCTCTAACAAGGACACAAGGGAGGGAGAGAGGCGCCCACCTTCCCATGACCATGTTGACGACCAGCTTCATAGCCGCCCCACTGCCCTCGGGCCCCAGGAAGAACGTGGACTGCATTGCATGTGGACGGGGCCCGGAGGGAGAGAGACGAATGCCAGACAGACAAGCAGCAGAAAGAGATGTATAAAAGGAAGGAGGGAGGGAGGGAGAAGATGCGTTGAGATAGTGACAGAAGAATGAGGACAGAGCTAGCGAGAATCCACTGGGCATAGCGGGAAGGCAGGTACGTACGTGGATGGATGGATGGAGCAGCGGCAGATGGGTGCAAGAAGAGAAGCAAAGGCTTGGTAGGCCGAGTCAGAGGTGGAATGATACCGTCCCACCCGGCTGTAGCACGTGCACCCGGCTGTAGCACGTGCACCCGGCTGTAGCACGTGCACCCGGCTGTAGCACGTGCACCCGGCTGTAGCACGGAAGGAGAGCTCTCGCTCACCTTGCCCATGATGTCGAGCATGGGGCCAGCGCGCTCGTACAGGTCCTTATGAGGCGCCTCAAACGATGGCTGTGGCAGGGAGCGGAAGGGGAGCTCTCTCTCTCACCTTGCCCATGATGTCGAGCATGGGACCAGCGCGCTCGTACAGGTCCCAGTCGCCTCCCGCCAGGAAGATGAGCTTGCCGTTCTCCGCTGGCGTCTTTGACCCCGACACGGGCGCCTGTAGGGGGAATATGGGACAGGGAAGGGTTTAGGAGCTCTGAGTCAACTCGGGCGCCTTCCTCCCTCCCTCCCTCCCAGGCTCCCTCCTCACCTCGAGGAACTGTGCTCCAGTGGCGCGCACGGCCTGGTGTGACTGCTAAAGCAGCAGAAAACCCCCATACTCCTTGAAATCATGCTTGCTGCCTCTATACCCTTCCTCCTCCTCCCCCCCCCCCCCCCACCTCCGCACCTCGAGGAACTGCGCTCCAGTGGCGCGCACGGCCTGCGACTTTCGAGGCGCTTCAAAAGCAAACATGCTGCCCCTTCCCTTCCCTCCTTTCCTCACCTCGAGGAACTGTGCTCCAGTGGCGCGCACGGCCTGCGCCACGCGGACAGCTGTCTCCACGTCCACTGTAGATGCATCCACGTATCTGATCGGTGGCACACAATTTGGGGCGGGATGGTTTGGTGTGGTGTGGTGTGGCACAGTAGGTTATCAAGTGTGGCGTGGTGTGGCATACCGTTGTGCTGGTTTGGAAAATGGAACATGCACAGATGCTCCGTCCAACAGACCCATGCGACAGCAACATGCATTTCCTTGCACGGATGATTTGTGCGTGCAAAGCAAGTCAGGGAGGCAGGAAAGCAGCAAGGAAGGGATGTACGAGAAGAAACGATGCGTGTTCCATTCCAGCTCAATATTTTCCCTAAGTGACTATTGAGTTGATTGATTGCAAGACCTGGGTGTGCGTTTGACTTGAGCTCACCCTTTTCCAGGCTTCAATCCCTCTGTTGCGCCTTCTGGCCCACACGCCACTTCCAACTGCATGCATGCACGAACAGATGTGTGCACACATGCACGCACACATGGACGCACAGACATGCGCACACAAGCACACACAAACAGAAACACGCACACAAGTGCACACACGTGGGAGAGGATAGAGGAAAGACGGTGGGGCGGGGTACGGGGAACAAGAAAAGAGGTAAGCGGGCATGAGGGACAAGTGGCAATGCTGCCAGCGAAGGGAGAGCGGACATAAGTTTGTATGTGTGGGAAGTGGGTGGAGAGAAGCAGAGGAGGGGAACCTCGGATGAAGGTGAGTGCGTTCTGGAAAGGCAGGCGAGGACTGGGGCAGGAGTGAGAGAAGTGAGGATTCGTGATGGGAGTGGCGGTGGGAGTGGCGGTGGGACGCACAGCAGCAGCAGGATCAGAGAGCATGGCGAAAGTAATGTCACACGCTGCTGTCACCGCTGCTGCTGACGGCGCCGCCCTGCCATGGTGGGGAAGGGAGGGGGGGCGAGGGAAGGGCAGATGGGGAAGGGGGACGGGGATTGGGAGGGGGAGGGAGGGAGGAGAAGGGGGGAAGAGCAAGAGGAGGAGGTTAGTAGCAGTGTTTTGCGATGGTAAAAGCTCGTCGCACTGACACGTGCGGGCGGACCACAGACAGGCATACACACACAAACACGCGACAGGCCTCACAAAACATAAGACAACCACCCTCGCTCCCATGCACACAGTTCAACCCTCGCACCCCACCCCACCGCATCCCACCCCACTCTGGCTCTCACGCACACAGCGCCGGCCTCCACAAGCGGGCGCGTCTTCTTGGGGCTGCGGTTCCACACCATCACACGATACCCCGACTGCACCAGCCACCCCATGGGATTGACCCCCACCCAACCCAACACAACCACACCACAGTCCCTCACACATGCACCCTCCCCCCACCCACCCCACCCCATCCCACTGCATCCCACCGCATCCCACCCCTCTCCACTCACACAGCGCCAGCCTCCACAAGTGGACGCGTCTTCTTGGGGCTGCGGTTCCACACTGTCACGCGATACCCCGACCGCACCAGCCGCAGCGCCATGGCGCTGCCCATGATGCCCAGACCCAGGAAGCCGATGGTGGGGATGGACGCCACTGCACTCAGGGAGAAAGGGAAGGGGGACGGGGGAAGGGGGAAGGGGAGAGGGGGAAGATGTGGGGAAGGGATCGGCGGGAACGTTGCAGCGCCATGGCGCTGCCCATGATGCCCAGACCCAGGAAGCCGATTGTGGGGATGGACGCCACTGCGCGGGGAGTACGAAGGCGAGGGGAACGGGGGAAAGGGACAGATGTGGGAAGGAAGCCGGGTGGAGCGTCGCAGCGCCATGGCGCCATCCATGATGCCCATGCCCAGGAATCCGATCGTGGGGATGGACGCCACTGCACGCGGGGAAGTGCACAGGGAGAGAGGGGGAAGGATTCAGTGGCAATGGGGGGGAATCTGAAAAATGTCTTTTTTCTTTTTTTGGGGAGTCTGAAGGAAACCTGGAAGAGGATATCCTGAAAGAAGGCATGTGTTTTCATACTGCATTAAGCACCAATGTAACTAAACGACATCCAAGTTGAGTTGATCTCTTAGGTAAGTGGTAGCGCGCCTCGCTAACTAAACCACATCACACCACAAGATGTGACCGTTTGTAGCCCTAACGCCCGTTCCCGCTAGGTAACACCGTGACTTTCTCAACCAGCAGGAAGTGCCTGCACCAGAAAGTGCCGGCGCCGGCACAAGAAGATGTCTGTCCCAGAAGAATGCCGGCGCAAGGAAACGCCAGATAAATACCCGATGGCGCCAGAGAATCCTGGCGCTGTGATAATTACCTGCACCAGCAACGACCTCCCCCTGCGACGCGGCAGCGCGCGTGGTGAGCGCGCGGCTGTTAGCCTGACTGCGCTGGTTGTGCGCGTTGAGAAGATTCTTCGACTCGCTTGCGCGCGCGGACTGCGGCGCATTGGGCGTTGGCTCTGAGCCTGACCGCGCGACGGAGGCAACGGCGGGGGTTGCGGCGGGTTGGAGGGAGAAACGCGCCGGAGCGGCGGAAGCCGCGGGCACCGCGACGCCGAAGAAGGCGGAATGGCGCCTCGCGGGCGCGCAGCGCAACATTGCGGACACGGGGCGAACGAGCGGGGTTAGCGCTGCCAATGCCATGGCGTGACTGTGAGGAGAAAAAAATAAGAGAATCGGTGCTTCAGCTGTGCGACTGGACTCTGGAGGAGACACTAGATTCTGATATCTTTTGGATTGTTTTGTTGTGGCTCGGCAGGGCGAGGGGGATTCTCAGGGCGACGTCAGGTTGTACACCCCCCACACATTCGCGGTTCTGGTATCGTGGCTCGGAACGGTTCTACACGGTGAAAAACGGTTTTCTCAGTTCACCGTTTTGCACCGTGACGAAACGAATTTGACCGCAGAGAGCTCACAAAAAGCCGTACAACCAGACGTTGCCCTCAGAGTCTTGATGGGACATTGGAGATGTAGGTACCTCGCTATTGCAGTCCTCCTGTATCACGTAGTGGAGCCTGGCACCCAAGCGTCTGAAACATTCCGACTACTGATAAAGTGGGAGAACACTACTTCTTTCACTACTGCAACACCACTTCAGTTTCCCCTTGTTGCACACCCTAGTCAGATGAAAAGGTATGCATGATTTTCACCACACAACATTGACAGTGATGGCACTAGGTGGTTACGAGGTCTACAGCCACTAGGTTTAAATATGCAAGCTTACGCAAGTAACAAGCATCCACGACTGTCGACCAATACGAAAACCAGCACCTAGCCAGTGTTCTGCATGCCAGCTGCAATTCCCTTCATGGTGATAATCAGCGTATCCTCCAGGCCAGGCGCGTACTCCGAGGCCGTATTCAGAGTCACGACTTCGGAAGACTTGTTGTACTTCATGGATCCGCCTCCGCTGCTGCTCCCGCTGCTGGTGCGTGCCATTAACAGGCCACCGTTGGCAGAATCTGCAGAGGCGTGGGCGCCCGAGCGCATGCGCTTGAGAGTGAGCACCTGCTGCACGTTCAGCGGTGTGATGTAGGGCTCTCGGATAAGCAGGCGCTGGCGCAGGGGTGCATTCCCTTCCAGCACCACGGAGCGGCCGGTGATCTGCTCACACAGGCAAAGAAAAGCACAACAGACGATGACACACTGAGACATCATTACCCCACTGCCCTCGTCATCATTCCCTCGCCATCTCTCGAACATTCACTTCCCTACTCTCACACCCCTCTCCCTTCCTCCTCCGCACGCCTTCTTCTAATCGTCGCAGCCGTCCTTGGCCTCTCACCTTGAGGATCGACTCCCGGGCCTCCTCGTACTTGCGGCGCAGCTCAGCACCAAACTCATGCAGCTCGGGGTTGGCAAGTTCCTTCTCGTAGAGCGCGGCGACGCGAGGGTCGCCCTTGGCAAACACCATTTCCACGAGGTCGATGGTGACGCGGAAGAAGGGCCAGTTCTGGTACATGTCGCGCAGCGTCTCCAGGTTCTTGGGGTCACGCTCCAGCACACCGCGGAAGGCCGCTGACAGACCCAGCCACACGGGAAGATGGAAGCGCGTCTGTGGGGGCCGGGTGGGCGTGGGAGGGAAGGTGTTAGCAGGTGTGCGTGTGTGGGTGTGTGCGTGTGGTGCATGCATGCGTACATCTGTGCAGATGTAAGTGTGCGTTTGCGTGCGCATGTTGGTGTGCCTGTGTATGCTCGTGCATGGGTGGTTGGGGGGGGGGGGATGACTAGACCTAATCAAAATGCTGAGGTTACAAGGCGTGCTGAAAAGGAGGCTCAGGTCAGTAAGGTTGAGGGAAGGAAGAAGTGAGTGTGCGTCCAGGCATTTTGAGTTGAGGCACCTCAAAGGGACTGGAAACAGTACCTGTGTCCAGGCGTCTATATGACTGAGGCACCTCACAAAGGGAATGCAAGCAGTACCTGTGTCCAGGCGAAGATCCAGGGAATGGCGCGCAGGGTCTCCACACCGCCACCAGGCTTGCGCTTGGATGGGCGGCTGCCAATGTTCATGCGCGAGAACTCAGTCTCTGGGGTCACCTGGTGGGAAATGGGTGTTGGCGGGGTGTGCAGTGAGGAATGAAAGGACATGTTCAATTGGTGATGCTCGTGGAAGGCAGGAAGTGGGAGAGGGAGAGGAGGGGAGAGGCGAGGAGATGAGAATATGACGAGACAGGGGAGGAGAGGAAAGGAGAGGAGAGCAGAGCGGACGAGGGTGGACGAGAGCACATGAATGTGAGCGAGCGACAGGGGAGGGAAGCAGAACTCACGGATCGGAAGTATTCAACGAATCGCGGGTGCTTGAAGACAATGGAGCGGTACTCGGCAGTGGAGAGCGGTGACATCTCGTCCATGAGAGCCACCCACTCAGGCTTGGGCGACACTGGGGGATGCATGCCATGCTCCAAAGTGGCTGGCCGGAGGAAACAGATAGGATGGGACCAACGCACACACAGAGAATGGACAGCTTTAGGGACACCGATAGATAGAAATGGAGTGGGGTAGGTTAGCGCCAGAGGACAAGAAGAAAGGAGGTCAGCAAGGAGGGTGGAAGCTTTGCGTCTAGGGCAGCAGGGTGGTGAGAGGGAGGATACATGGAAAATGGAAACGCCACTATGTCAGTCACAAACCGAAGCAGCAACTTGCCAACCCCCGCTTCATCCTTCCTAACGCCTCCACAACACCCCAACCTTGGAGACCCACCCCCAAAACCCTCTCCCTCAACCCCCGTCCCTCCTTATTCCCCTCCCCTCTCCCCTCCCTTCCCTTCCAATCAGCTCACCAGAAGTGAAGCGCTGCAGAGTGCGGAAGCACAGGTTCTCCTCGCCAAACGACTGCTCAATGACCTCTCCCTGCACCGTCACCCTCAGCGACCCGTCCACCGACCCAGGCGGCTGCGACAGAATAGCCAGATGCGTGGGGCCGCCACCACGACCAACCGTCCCACCACGGCCATGGAAAATCGTCAGATGCACCCCGTGCTTCTGAGCCACCTCCACCAGGCTGGCCTGGGCCTTGTACAGCGCCCAGGCCGCAGCCAGACGCCCAGCGTCTTTCCCTGAGTCGGAATACCCAATCATGACCTCCTGTTTGCCGTTGATAATTTCCTTGTAGTAGGGGATGCTGAGAAGCGCGTCGAGGACAATGGGCGCGTTATTGAGATCGTCCAGGCGCTCAAACAGCGGCACGACGCGGCGGGCGGGGTTCACCCCGCACGCCTTCTGCAGCAGCTGCACCTCCAGCACGTGCGACACAGACGTCGCCATGGAGATGATATAAGCCGAGAGAGAGTCCTCTGGCAGCTCCGCAATCACGTGGAGGGTCGAGATCACCTCGCGAACTTCGTCCGACATGGGCATGTCTGGGCCGAACAGCGGCCGCTTGCTCTGCAGCTCAGACACCAGCCACTCCACCTTCTTCTCCTCGCTCCACTCCTTGAAGCTCCCCAGCCCCAGGTGCTGCGTGATGGTGTCTACGGCGTCAGTGTGGCGGTCAGACTCTTGGCGGATGTCGAGCTTCACGAGGGAGAGGCCGAAGCAGGCGACCTGGCGCAGGAAGTCGAGGAGCTGGCCCTCAGCGATGGCTCCGTCCAGGGAAGAGTGCAGCGAGCGGTAGCAGAGCTCCAGAGGCTCCATCAGCTGGTGCAGCAGGGCGCACGCCAGGGAGACGGGGAGAGAGAGAAGCGCAGGAGGAGGGGAGGAGGGAGAGAGGAGGGATGTGAGGAAAAGAGGGAGGGGCGGAGGGAGGAGATTGACAAGCGAGGGAGGGCGGAGGAAAGGGGTGGGACAGAGAGAGAAAGAAGGGATAAGTAAAGGAAGCAGAGGGGCGCAGATGAGCACAGAGGGACGCGGACGCGGCAGACCAGCAAGTGTACCTGGGAGGCTGAGGTGTAGATGTCCTCAGTGCTGAAGGTGGAGTGGCCGGAGACCATGAGCTGCTGGTAGTGGTCGCGCGTGTTCCACAGGCGATCGCGCACCTCGCACAGCACCACACGGTATGGCTCGCTGCCCGGCACCTGCTTCCAGAACTCTGGGGCGTTCGTGGGGTTGGGAGCGCGCACAAACACACCATTGCGTGGTGAGGCACCGGGTTTATAAGAGGGATGAACGAAAGCGTGGCAGTATGGAGGGGGAATGAAACGAGGGACGAGAATGACGCCCGGCAAAGAAGGAAAAGGCAAGTTATTTGAAAAAAGGAAGAAGGGGGGAAAGAGAAGGGGCGAGCGTTGGGAGAAAGGAAGACGTGAGAGCGAAAAGGGCTGTTTGAACCACTGCAAATTGCAGTTGCCAGTGGTGTGACCCAATACCAGTGCTGAATAACTCACCAATGTAGTGGTTGCTGTGCTTCTTGGCCCCTGCCTGCACTGCCTGCGCCCTCTCCTTGAGCTCGTCGCTTCCGCGCCACATGGACATCTGGTGAAGCGACGAAGGACGCGCGGAGGGCAGCACAGAAGAGAAGCCGTGAGAGAGCCGGGAGCGGCGGGGAAGCGGCGAGGTTAAGCAAATGAATAAGGGATGCGAAGGAATCGGCGAAACCAGGCAAGACTACATGACACGGAAGCGAGTGACTTGGCTTTAGGGTGAATCGAGAGGGACAGGGAATGGCCTATGGCCTGGAGAACGGAGGGGAGCGTGCGGCTTACCGCGAAGAGGAGCTCCTCGATCTGCGCGATGTAGAGGTTGACGACCATGAGGCGCGACAGCAACACCACGTCGCGCGTCACGGACGCCGTCACACGCGGATTACCTGCGAAGGGAGCCGATCACGCGAAGCGAGGCAGGAGGACGGCGAGGGTTAGACAGATCGAGAGCAGTGAAGGGAGACGGGAACTACCCTACACTGTAGCGAGACAATTCTTCTAATAAAACGTGCGCGTGAGAAAGCTTTGCAGGCGATTCTGCTTCTTACCGCCGAGCACAGGAGCACATAGACCGTTAAGACATAAGAACCCGCAGCGTGCCAGGACCAGGTCTCCCCTATTAACTGTTCGTTCAAATCCCCTTCTTGAGGTTCGCATAGATTTACCCGTATTTTTTTAAACAGAAACGGCCCCAGGGGGTGAAGGAAGGGCGGGTGAGAGTGGGAAGGGTTGGGTGGGGGTGGAGAGAAGAGCGGACGAGGTGGGGGGGAAAGAATTATAGGATGGTGAAAAGCGGAAAGGGGAAAGCGGAAGTTGAGGCAATTCACTCACCGTCCCTGTCGCCGCCCATCCAGGACGAGAACTGGATGATGGGGATGTTGTACGGCAGGCGCTCCTCGATGCCGATGCTGCGCAGCGCGGTGTCGACGCGGCGCAGGAACTCGGGCAGGCCCTTCCAGATGGTCTCGTAGAAGTAGCTCATCCCCGCGCGCATCTCGTCCTGCGGTGTCGGCTGCGTGCGCCGGATCTCGTCCGTGCGCCACGCCGCCTGGATCTGCACTTGCCGTTGTTGAAGCAGCCAGGACGAGAAACAGTGGAGAGTGAGACGGGACAGCACGGGAAGACGGGAAGACAGAGGGGATGATGTTGAAGGTTCTACGCATTGAGGGACGAACGAGCCATTGGCGATAGGCGAAACGAAATAGCAGGAGCCACGCCAATACGAAACAAAACAAAGAACAAACGAACAGACAAATACAATGGTTAAATTTGTCCTTCGCACCTCCCGTTTGAGAGCCTCCACGAGCTCCTGCTGCCTTTCCTTGGTGTACTTCTGAGCGTGGCGCTGAGACAGCAGGGCGCGAATGCTGGCCACAGGATAAAAGGCGAGCACGGGAAAAATGGTGAGAAATATACGGGTTTAAGCTTTTACGGTCCGTCAACGAATTACCGTACAAGATGCGGCCCCGGTGCCGGAAATTGATCCCTCAAATCCGAACACGGTGCGGTGATGTGAATTCTTGCCGCGCTTACCGGGCGTGCTTCTGCAGCAGGGAGCGGCGGATGGACTGTGTTGGGTGAGCGGTGAGCACGAGGTCCACGCGCTGCTGCTTCAGCCCCTCGAAGATCTCATCGGGCGTCTTGCCCAGCTTGATCAGCTTCTGGAACGTCTCCGTTATGTTGGACTCCGTAAGCGCACTTCCTTCCTCCTCAATGGATCCGACCTTGCTCTTCCGCGCACGATGAGCCATTTGAATCTCCTCTGTTCAGGACAGATTGGGAGAGTAAGGGATGAATGCAATGTTAGTACAGATGAACAAAAATTGGTTGCGGATGAAGCAAAATGGACAGAGAAAAATCATAATGTGAGCAGCGAATCACGAAACAATCGAGAAATGAAGGACCGTCGGGAATGGTACACCGTAGGCTTCGGATGCTTACCCGCAATGTTTCCCAGCGTGAGCATGTGGGAGAAGGCGGAAGCGAAGAGAATAGATTCGGCCGGGTCGAGGGAGTCGACCACCTCCTCTAGCTTCTTAAGATCTTCAGGGTCGTTGCTCGCGTTGTACTGGGACGACAGTCCCAGACATGTTTGGACCTGCAAGCACATACAATTTAAAGGATTTAATGAATGCTGATTGATGCTGATACAAGAACGAACCATATCGAAGGTAACTAGAAAAATGAAATGGATTTAGATAACACATTCTCAGAACTAGGAAAAAGACGATAACTAGGCATTTGGTGATACTTATATCACACTGTCTTAGAAAGTCTTATTAAGATCACGAAGCTACATTCCTTGTGCATTTCAAACGTTAATTTAATTGTTACCGTGGATTGGGAGGATTTCTCAATAACGTGACGGTGACTGAATGATATCAATAAACTCACAACTTCGGCAAGCTCATTCTCCTCGAGCTCCTTGAGCATTCCGAGGAAGCAATCCAGCAGCAACTCCTCATCCTCCACGAGAATATCGTCATCGCCGACCTTCACATTGACCTGCTCCAACGCGTCGTGAACCGACAGGTGCGGATCCAGCTCGTGGACCTTCGAAATCATCTCCTCAGTAGGCGACATTGCGGATCGCTGGTGCGGCAACGTGCGGTATCTTGAATCAGTGGAGAAATCGCAAGGAGGGAGCAGACAATGAAGTCGTGAAAGAAACGGCTGCGCGTGGACGCTAGCTGGTTGTGGAAGGACAGTAATTTGAGGTTGGCACGGCGAGGCGACTGAGTATAGAAACTGCCCCCCAACGCGCGGGAGGAGACGGCTGAGAACGCGCCTAGCAGTCGCCGTTTCCGACCAACAAAATACTGCTGCTTCCAAGAAGCAAAGGGAATGGAGAAAGTAGAATTGATAGAGGGGGGTATAGGCAGCTAATCTACAGAACTGAAAGAAAGGAAATTCTCAGGTCAGGCGACACTGTAGCTGTCTGGGAGGGAGCTGCACTCCGCGTTACGGAGAGGGAGGGGAAGGGAGGGGGGGAAAAGGATCCAGCATCCCCCGAATTTCCCAGCCGCGCAAAACTGGTGGAAGCCAATCTGCACGCAGAACCTTCCGAAGTTTGCCACGTGGTCGAATGTCTCGAGGCCGTAACAGCTGGTACATTCTTGAAGACCAATTGGAAACGTTGGATGGCTTCCGTGCGAAATGTGGTGGCGGACATTCGCGCCCCATTGCGAGTTCTGGATGAGCAAGCGCAGAAAGAGAGAGCTTGCTCGGGTTCCGCACGCGCACCAACGGCTTGGACTGTGGGATTTTCGTGAGCGCACTGCATCGGTCAGGTAACGATTTGGATAACCAATGGAAGCCTTGGATAAGGCGGGAAGGCTCTCGGGAAGGCATCGTGCTGATGCAGCACGGGCCGCGATTCGCGAAAGCTAGAGGTCACCGCAAAACAAACTTCATTCTGATTAGACAATGTGGCTGGTTAGGCATCGAAGCAGCCGTTGATATGGTGACAAGTCAGCCGAATCTCATGTGTTGAGTATGTGGCTTTGACCCTTCCGCCACTAAGGGGCTGTCCTAAGCCCACATGGAGGGGTTCGTTATCCACGTAGACAAAATTTTTTCTCGAGGTTGCCGAAAAACTCTTCATCCAAGCTGTTCCACAATTTGAACCACCTCCATTTCCGTATGGGGTCCGCAATCAAAACCACCTTCACCAGCTCGTACACTTGCAGGGTCACAGGGGGGAATGACAGGCTCGAGAATATTCTTCCACCACTTACGGATCCCATGCATCCAAGCTACCATCAGATTCTTGTACATTGCGATGCCAAAAGCCCTACAATTCGTCCCCATAAATCAAGGACCAGCAATTTTCCCTCACCTAGCTCATTGAATCTAAGGGCTGCATAATGCCAATACAGTGTGTACAGCTTTTTTTTTTTGCCATGGCTTCTTTGCCTGCACTGCATTCTAGAATAATATAATCTGGCCTTATTCCAGCAGCATGCAGTGCTTCACATCTAACAAAAATCTGTCAGCCTGTTCAAGGGCATGTGTCCAGACAGGAATGAGGATCTACATCACATCGAACCCAAACATGCTATAACTTAATCTAGTTAGTGTTCAGATTCGACAGTTACCTTACCATATCAGATGGTGTTGATGTTACATGCTCAGCCATGGGTGGTCTGGTGCACAAACAGGCGCAGGGAGGAGAACAGAGGCTTAGTAAGAGTTGCGACTGAGCATAGATGTACCCTGGGAAGGAAGCACAGAGACAATGAAGCTTATTCATCCGGACAAAGAAACACAAACAGCCTACACCTTACATCACAGCCTCCATGACCAACCAACAGAGCACAGGACTAGCTCCAACACACCCCCTACTTCATCCTCCACACCAGCACTCACCAAGAACATCATCAGCCGTGATTCGCAGGGCGGGGTCCTTTGTCAGCATGCGCAGCACCAAATCTTTGGCCTCATCCGAAACATCAGGCCAGGGGGCGCGCTGCAGGTCTGGCTCCTGCTCGAGAATCGCCTGGAACACCCCCTCGTCGCTGTCCCCGCGGAAGGGAGGCACGCCCGCCAGCAGCACGTAGAGAATGACTCCTGCGCTCCAGATGTCGGACTCCGGTCCATATGCCTCGTGCAGCACCTCGGGTGCGATGTAAAGCGGGCTGCCGACAATGTCTGAGTACACATCGCCTGAGGCATGCACACGAGGGAATGTGGGGTTGAGAAGAGGGGAGGAGGGGGTAGGGGGGGTGGGGACAGCGCGGATGGGGTGGTGACAAGAGACTTTTGAGGTGCCTTGCCTCGTGCAGCACCTCAGGCGCGAAGTACAGAGGGCTGCCTACAATGTCTGAGTACATTTCACCCCTGAGGCATGGCGGCATGGTGGACGGGGGGAATGGATGGGGGAAAACGGGGATGGGGTCATGAAGAGAACATGGCAACGTCAAAGTCAGAGTGACCTTCAAGTCAACGTCGTTTTACTCCCCGTGCACAGCTGGAGCTCCCTTTTTTCCCCTTCCCACGGGCTCCCCCGCATTCCTTCCACCCCATCCCAAAACCACCAACACACCGGTTTTCGAAGCGCACTGCAATGCCGAAGCCGCCAAACTTTTCTAAGAATCCGAATTCGCACTGTCCTTCAACTCCACCTCCACCCCACTCTACCCTCCCACCCATCCGTCACCAACCACCCACCAGGCTTGAAGAAGACGGCGACGCCAAAGTCAATGACCTTGACGTCGACGTCGTTCTCCTCGGTGCAGAGCAGGATGTTCTCGGGCTTGAGATCGCGGTGCATCACCCCGATGGCATGGCAGTCGCGCAGCAGCTCCACCACCACGCGCAGCACCGCTGCTGCACTGCCCTCGTCGTACCACCGCCGCTGCTTGATGCGCTCCCAGAGCTCCCCACCCGCACAGAGCTCCATCACCAGGTGCACGCTCTGGGGTTGGTGGAAAAGGACGGGGAGGGCGAGGGTGGGAGGTAGGGGATTGATATGAGGAATATATGAGGAATAAAAGGAGAGCGGAAGGGGGAAGAGGAAAAGGGAAGGGGGGATTAGAGATGGAATTTCTGATGCGCTCCCACAGCTCGCCGCCCACACAGCTACATTACTAGGTGCACGCTTGAATGAGGAGAACGGGGGATTTGAGGGGTAGGGAAGATGGAAGAAAAAAAAGGAGTTGGTGCGCATTCGTACCTGCCACAATCATCCCCATTTCCCTCACTATCACCCCCACATCAACCCCCCATTAATCCCCCATGTTACCCCCCCATCACGCACCCATATCATGCCAACGATCCTGTACCTATGAGTCCTTGAACGTGGTCACGAGCTGCTCAGTCCCCCCGTCCCCCCCCCACCAGACTCCTTTCCCTTCTGAGCAACTCCCTGCACTGAACCTCTCCCCCACATGACAATATCACCACCATCAACCCCTCTGCACCATTCAGCACCGCACCTGCGCATCCTCGAACGTGGCCACGAGCTGCACAGCATGCGGGTGGTCCCTCAGACGCTCCATCACCGCCACCTCCTTGCGCACGTCCTCCACCTCCTCCTCGCACTGCCGTGGGGGGAGAAAGGAGAGACATGGACGGGTGGGATGGGAAGCATAAAGGACGGGTGGTAAGTGAAGAGATGGCCCCTCAGCCGCTCCACCGCCACCTCCTCGCACTGCCGGAGAGGAAGGGAGAGGGGGAGAGGGTGTGAGGAAAGGCGGGAGGGAAGGGAATGGGTGGATGGGATGGGAGAAAGGAGGGGGAGTGAGAATCAAAAGAGGAAGCAAGCCGCCAACCCTTCAACCCCCCCAATGTCCTGGTAACACCTGCATTCTCTCCTCAAAACTCTCTCCCAACCCCTCTCAACCCCTGCGTCTCTCCTCGCCTCACCTGCAGCCTGTCCTTGGCAATGGTCTTGCATGCAAACTGCTCGCCCGTATCTCGAGCCACGCACACACGGATGCTGCCCACGCGCCCCCTCCCCACCTCACCCCCCTCCAGCATATAATACTCATTCACATCTACGTACGGTCTTCCTAGCACCGTACCCACACCCCCTCCGCCGCCTCCCCCTCCTCCTACTGCTCCTCCTGCTGCTGCTCCTCCTCGCCCCATTCCGCCTCCCCTCCCAGGGGGGCCCCCTCCTCTCCCTCCCATAAACATTGGTCCCCCCATACCCCCACCCCGCCCCACTGCTCCTCTTCCTCTTCCTCCTCCCCCACCCATTCCTCCACCCATCCCTCCACCCATGCCCCCGCCCATCCCCCCGCCCATCCCCCCACCCATCCCCCCGCCCATTCCCCCGCCCATCCCCCCGCCTCCCCCCGACATCATTTTACCACCAGCAGACACAGGTCTGAGGGGACCGCCCATGTTTCCCGCGCCTCCCCTCCCCATGCCCACGTGCCCTGCACCAGGAGTCATAGGCGCACCCATTCCCCCCGTTCCCCCCATGCCTCCCATTCCTCCTGCTCCCCCCATCCCTCCCCCTCTCCCCTGTCCCATCCCTCCCAACGGGCTATGCCCCACTCCCCCCATCTGGTACCCCGAGTTCATCCCAGGTCCCCCCATGCCCACCCCTCCCCCTCTTCCGCGTCCTCCGCCTCCCCCTCCCCCGTCACCCCCCATTCCTCCTCCCCTTCCCCCCATCCCGCCCCCCCCTGCGCCTCCTGGGCTATTTGGCAATCCCCCCGCCCTGCACCAGCCAACCCCGGACCTACTCGCCCTCCCCCGGAGGGACTGCCAGGCGGGGGACCCGTCCCCATCCCCCCCATCCCCATCCCCCCTCCTGGCCCCATCCGCATGCCCGTGTTGTTCCCCCCGCCTGCTGCCATGCCTGCCCCTCCTCGCCCTGCCCCTCCCATCCCACCAGGTCCCATTCTGGGACTCAGTGCAAACTGCTGCTGCTGCTGCGGCGGCTGTTGTTGCTGCTGCTGAAGCTGCTGCTGTCCCTGGCGCAGAACCAGGGGGCTGGTGGGCCGGCCTTGCCCCATCCCCATACTCCCATGGCCAGACCCCGGCCTGGGAACACCACCAACACCCCCAGCGCCACCAGCACCACCAGAACCAAAGCTCGATCCCCTGACTGGAACGCTGGGGCGAGCAGCAGGGGAGAACACCTGTCCCTGCTGCCCCTGCTGCCCCTGCTGCCCCTGCTGCTGTTGATACTGCTGCTGTTGCTGTTGCTGGTGGTGTGTCTGCTCCACGAAGCTAGACGCCCGGCCCGCTTGCCTCAAGTCAGGACGATTGCCAGATGGCCCGCCAGGACCAAAGCCCGAGCCAGGCCCAGGCATGCCTACAGGTGCTGACATCACAGACGGCACGTGCATGAATCCGTTAATACTCATGGACTGAGAACGCCTGTGAGGGGACAGGCCACGCCCACCCCCAGTAGCTCCCATACCTCCTCCCCCCATACCGGACCCCATCCCTGGCGCACCCACAGCACCCATTCCCACCCCTCCTCCCCCCGCTCCTCCGACCCCCCCTCCGCCGCCGCCTCCTGGGCTGCCTTCCAGCCCTCCGCTCATGGTCCGTTTGTATCCTGCAGGGGGCGTACGCGTTTGAGGCCGCCCTGATACCGCTGCAATCCGCGGATCGGGCGCCAGTGCGTTCCCTGTCCATTGATTGGACCCCCCACCCATGCCCTGCATCCCCTGCTGCTGCTGCAGCGGTTGCTGCTGCGGTTGCTGCTGCTGTTGATACGGTAGCGGCTGCTGCTGCTGTTGCTGCTGAGTGTGTGCAGGGAAGGGCGATTGCGGCTGACGTGGCCCTGGGAAATGGAAGTTACCACTGGGCCGGCCTCCTGCTGTGGACGCACGAGCAGGGAGGCCATGCACGTTACCACTAACCATGTTACCACCTGGTATGCTGTAACCACCACCACCACTGCTGCCACTGCCGTCACTGCCGCCGCCACCACGAATGAGAGCACCTCCACTGCCAGCAAAACCCCCAGCCCCAGCGTTGGCACCAGCCGGAACCACAGGCCTGCCCATAGCACTGTTGGCACCACCACTTGCTGTTCCGGCATCTTCTGTTGTCACGAGCAGGGATTCTGACTGGTGGGTTCGGCCAGAATTGCTCATATCCCACGGCGCCACCTCCGGCACCTCCTCCTCCTCCTGCTGCTGCTGCTGCTGCTCCTCCTCCTGCTCCGCGTCCACCATGAAAGTCTCTGCGCCCATCCCCGCGCCCATGTTTCCGACCATCCCTCCCCCTGCGCCAATGCCCCCGCCTGGACCTGCGCCCATGGGGCTTAGACCCATCATCCCTCCCCCCATCCCCCCCGCTCCCCTCCCCGCGCCAGCAGGCGCAACAGCAACCCCCGGAACCGCAACCCCCCCGCCCGCCACGCCCCCTGCCGCGCCCGCCGCGCCTCCGCCAGCGCCGAGCGCGGCCACCGCCCTGAGCGCGCCAGGCACGCGCCCCTCGGGCGTGGACGGCGGGCGCAGCTGCTGCAGCTGCGCCTGCACTGGCATGGCGGACCTGGAGCGCCTGTGGCGGCCGGTGGGGCGCACGGGCGCAGCAACTAGCGTGGCGAGCTCGTTCGGAGTGAGATCCGCGTCGTCCTCCCGCCTGAGAATGTTCATACTAGGCCCGGAAAACATCTCCCACGTGTGCCCTCCGGATTGGATCTTCTTGGGCTTGAACCTTGGGTCTGACGAGGACGACTCTTCTGGGGGCTGCTCCCAAGGAGCAGGCTGATTCGCCACTGCTCCCCCTCCTACTTCTCCTCCCAATCCCCCTCCCCCTCCTCCTCCCCCTCCCATTCCTCCTCCGCCCGCTTGCCACTGGTTCTGCGTGTTGATACCCTCAGCAGCACCAGGCCCCACGGGCGTTCCAGGCCCAGCAAACCCTCCACCTCCCCCAAACCCGGCGCCGCCGCCGCCGCCGCCGCCGCCGCTGCTGCCTCGAGCACTCGCCGGGCCAAACCCTCCGGCTCTGCTTCCCCCCCCTGGAGCATGCGCCGGGCCCATGGCGGGACTCCCCAGACTCATATTCTGCATCGCCGCTACCAGCGCCGGAGCAGGGGGACCGCCCCCGGACGCGGACCCCCCCAGCCTGTACCCCGCAGGCCCGGTTCCCGGGCGCAGGGCCATGGCTGGGTGGCTTGCAGGGGAGGGGAAGTTTCCGCCGATCGCTGGTGAATTGACGCCAGTGGGGGTGTGCGCGGGAGGGAAGTGGGGAGAGGGGTTGGGGTCTGTGGGGGTGAAGGGTTCGTGCTGACCTGGCATGGCGGATCTCGTTCTGCGATGCTGCATCTGCTGCTGCTGCTGAGTCTGCTGCATCTGCTGCATCTGTGCGTGTTGCAGCTGTGGTTGCTGCTGCATGGGCGGCTGTTGAAACTGATGGTTCATCACACCTCCTGCGTGAAGCTGCTGCGACTGCTGCGGCTGCTGCTGCTGCTGCTGCCGCTGCTGGAACTGTGGCGGCTGCTGCGGATGATGCGGCTGCTGATGTTGATTATGATGCTGTGGGGGGACGGCGCCTCCAGAGTTTCTGAAGTAGTCGTTGGATACCTCATGCTCCTGCTCACCGTGTAAGTAACACGGTCAAAAGACAAGCACGAATCGGCACCAAGCCGCGAAGGACGGAGTGAGGGAGTGTGCGCGCGTGCGTGCGCGCGAATGTATGAAGGGAGGAAGGGAAGTGGTGCCGGTAGAAGGGTTGCAGAGGGTGTGTGTGTGGGGGGGGGGGGGGGGGGGGGGGGGGGGGGGGGGGGTGTGCGCGCACGTTCGCGCGCGCCTGCGTGTGTGTGCCGGACACCAAATCGAAAAAGATACGGGTGAAACTAAAGGAGTTGCAACAGGAGAACAACAAGTGCAAGGATGCGAGGGAGGAAATACGAAGCGCGCAGAGTCCTAAAGAGGAAAAAAAACAGCAACTTTCCTTTTCCTCCTTTTAAGACTCTTAAATAATGCTCGAAGTATTCCATACTGTAGCGAGGAAGAGGAAAAAGAAAGGTTGAGACGCTAGAGCGGAACGTACATTGACAGGGTAGAGTCCAGGCGACTTCATAGGCTGCTGCTGCTGCTGCTGTTGCTGTTGCTGCTGTTGCTGTTGCTGCTGTTGCTGCTGCTGCTGCTGCGGGGCATGCATATGCGAAAACTGGTTGGGGCGCGTCACCGGCGCTCTACCCTGCATCGGTGCAGTCGACGCCCGGTTCGAATAATCTACAGAGAGAGACTGCCTTCCCCCTCTTCCCTGCGCGCCCATCGGCGATTGCGCCATCATGCCATTATTTGCACCGTATCCGCTGTTCATTCCGGCGCCTCTCCCAGGCGCACCTCTGCCTAACTCCCCCTCTAGGGCTTGCGGCTGTCCGTCCCAAGTCGCAGCTCCCTCCCATGGCTCCTCCATTATATGCGACACCTCGCGACGTGCAGGCGCTACCCTAATTGAAGTTGTTATGCTTCATACAAGACGGGTAATTTATTTATTTCTATTTCCCTGCGTACGTTGTGTGTACGAGAGTTGTGGCTTGATCAGTGAGCAATGCAGTGGTACATTGCTTTGGCAAGGGGATGGAGGTAAATTATGGAAACCAGCTGCTACAGGACAGAACCCTGAACTGCGCCAGCAATGGCTGCAACGACTTTCAGACGACCATCCAAAAACACACAAACAAAAGCTTCTTTGGAAGCTAGTAGGTGCGTTCTGTTGAGCTTTCAGCCTCCCAGACTTCTATACGGCTGGAGCTCTTATCCAGTGAAAAAGGAGTTTCCAAGGGAATAAAGGAAAGATCGCCGACTGGTGGTTTCGTGGTGAGCGAAAATTCGCCGCTTCCTTACCGAAAAGAATCACTTGGTTCGCCAGCTTCAACATTGAGGTAGTTGACTTTGAAGTTGGGTTACCACTAGGTTGGCGACGCGTGCTGCACAAGCTGTTTTGGTTTGGTGGAAGCTCCCACAGTCACTGGATGACGGATATCGAGGCTCCGTCACTTTGTTCAGCTTCGGGGGCTTCGGCTGGTGTGGCGGCTTGGTGTGGCGATTTGGTACGATACGTAGCCTCGGAGACGGTTCGCACGTTTCTCTTCAAATGTAAACTGCTACTCCACCAACCGCTAAGACTCCTTTGTAACAACCTTAGTACCGCTATGTCATGGAACGAATCACCTCCAGCTTGTCTGATTATGTACTTCTCCACTAATGTAAAAACAAGAAGGCTCGTCAAATATCAAGCCACTAACACATATGAACCAAGGTGCACACCGTGGCATCCCGTGCACCACAATTCAACAGTAGCAAGTCAAGTAAGAGATGCAAAGCCTTTCACAGCAGCTCCCTCCCTCCCCAGATATAAAAATGGTTGGTCGTAGTCATAGATTCGCTCGCCAGTTTGAGATGGTGAAACCACTTCCTCCAACCCCACTAATCCCTTCTGCCACCATGCATACCACTCCCTCCCCCACCCCCAGTGGACCCTCCAGCCCCAGCTCCCGCATCAACAAACGGCACCAACCGTTTCGCCTCCTTGCCAGTGCGCCGCCCGCCTCCATACGAGTCCAACACCCGAGCCAACGCCTCCTGCGTCAGCCTCAGCGCCAGGTCCGGCGACGGCAGCAACTCCGCCGAAAAGCCGGGCGAATAATCTCCCCCCGCTGCCGCCGCAGCTGCCGCCGCCGCCGCCGCAGCAGCAGCAGCCGCAGCAGCAGAAGCAGAACCGGCAGGGCGATGGATCGTGGCAGCACAGCTATCCAAAATCGCCTCCAGAACCCCCAGCGCCTCCTCCCTACAGTGCCCGCTGTCCAGCAAACGCGAGACAGACGCGTACAGCAGGGGGCTCTGTGTAGCGTCCAGGGATGTGCGGCGGAGGAGAGCTTGCAGGATCAGCAGCACCATTTGATGGTACTCCATGGGGCCTTTTTCCAGCATGGCCAGCAGGTGGCCTAGGGCCAGGAGCGTGTGGTCTGGGAACCACTGCGCGCAGATGGGCGGTGCGACGCTCTCGAGAAGCTCGTCGACTGTGAGGGTTACGGCATTGGCGTATGAGAAGAACACATCGGCTAGGGCCTGGTGGGGAGGGACGAGGGAGGGATGAGGGATGAGAGAGTACTTTTGAGACGTCTCAAAGATGGGGGTGCGACGCTCTGGAGAAGCTCGCACACTGTGAGGGTTACAGCGTTGGCGTATGAGAAGAACACATCGGCTAGGGCCTGGTGGGAGGGACGAGGGAGGGATGGGGGAGGGACAAGGGATGATGGGAGAGGGACATGTGAGGGATGAGGGAGGGACAAGATGAGGGGGATAGGAGAAAGGGGAAACAGAGACTGGGAGATGAAAGTGGCAAAAAAAAGGACAGAAGGGCAAGTCAGCTGCATCGGTTGCTCGCTTTTCGCCCAGTCAGCACAATACACTCTCGTAAGCAGAACAAATATGCAACGCAGAGGCAAAGAGGAGGCCAAGGGGAGGCAAAGATGAGGAAGAGGAGGCAGGAGGCGAGACAGCACTGACCTGCAGGTCGCACTGCACACACCACTTGGCAATCTTCATCGCCACAGCCCGTGCCTTATCCAGGCGCTGCTGCAGCGGCGACGATAGCACCAGCAGGCCCATGGCCGCATCTGCCCCGTACTGCAACTGCACACACAGCCACGGCAGCAGCCCCACCACATGCACCAGCAGCCGAGTGTTCCCGTCGCCAAATATCCTATCGCACGAGCGCATGGTGATCTTGGAAAGGACGTCGATCGCCACCCCGTGGGACACTCCCGAGAGAAGCCCTTTAAGCACAAGGCGCTGGACCTTCTGGAACTGCAGCCCTGATACCACCTCTTGCTGCTGCTGCGAAAGAGCCTGTGCCTGCCCGCCGCCCTGCTGTGCCTGCCCTCCCCCGCCCTCCTCATCCTTCCCGCTCCCTGCTCCTCCCCTCCCCCCTCGCCCCGAATGCGCCTGGAGGAGCGGCATGGCGGAGAGGAGAATGTTCTCCGTTGTCTGGTCGTGCAGCGACAGCCGGTCGATGACACTGCCAAAAAGCTCCAACGCGTGTGTGTACACGTGTACGTAGTCGGTGTGAAGCAGCGCGATGCACCCCCAGAAGACATGCGGGTAAAGAATCATTTTCTCCGGCTCCATGGAGTTCACCACCACTTGCATCGTGAGCAGAATCTCCATCACAAACCCGAGGATGGGCGGGGACGGGTTGGAGAAGCAACGCTGAAGAGACCGCAGCAGCAGCAGGCAGGTGTCAGAAGTAACGTGGGGACGGAGAGCGCGGAACATCTGGTGGGAGCGGGCAGCAGCGTGGCGAGACGCGCTGTCGAGGAGCCACTTGAGGGCCTCCTCTCCCCAGCGCGTGCGCAGGTCGCTCTGGAAGAAGATGGCGTCGACGACGGAGTGCACGAGGGACGTGAGGAGCGTCGCGGAGGGGATGGACGTGTGCGTGAGGGAGATGTCCTCGTTGGGCCACATGAGACTGCCCTTCTTCGACTGCACGTACTTTATCAGGCTCACCACCTGCCAGCCAGGGAAGCGGAGGAAGGGGGGTTACAGTGGGGATGTGAGCAAGGGTTTTTCTATCGGATTGAAATATCTGGGCCACATGAGACTGCCCTTCTTTGACTGCACGTACTTTATCAGACTCACCACCTGCCAGTTAGGAGGGCGGGATGGGGGAAGGGAAAGTGCAGGTTGGAACAGGGGGAAAAGGGAAAGTGGGTGGGGAACAGCGGGTGCGGTAAGCAGTGCGAGAGGTAAGGGAAGATAGCGAGAGGAGTAGAGCAAGAGAGAAAAAAAATTGACTCTGGCCGACAGTGGCAAAGATAGAGAGCGAGATGAGGCGAGCAAGAGGAGGAAGATAGGGAGAGGGGGAGAGGAAAGAGGAGCGCGCGAGAGAAAACTGAAAGAGTCATGGGCAGCAAGTCAATAGACAGCACTCAAGTGGCAACAAAGCCAGCCAGCCTCACCTGCTGCTTGTACTCGCCCTCGCTCTGGTCCCGTGCATCATACAGCTCCAAATGCCGCCCTGCGAGCGTGTACAGCAGGTTCACGAGCAGCTGCTGCGCATGCTCCAGCACGACCACCTCACTCGAGTCCATCAGCACAAACGTCACGTGGAACAGCAGCGGCAGGTGCCCTCGGAAATCCTCGTCGTTCTCGTACGCAATTTCGGCCAGGAGGATTAGGGCGAAGTCGGCGCGCGTGAGCCAGACGTGCGGGAGCATAAGCATGGCGTTGGGGACGGGGTTGGAAGGTTTGCAGGCGGAGGCGGGGACGGCGGGGGGCGCGGAGGGGGTGGTTTCAAGGAGCGGCGCGATGGGGAAGTCCATGGTGAAGGTGCCGAGGGTGTCAAAGGGAGCGCGGTTCATCTGGATGGGAATGAAGGGGAAGGGGGCATGGGATAGGGGCGGGGGAGCGAGGGATGAGGGTGAGTGGTGAGGGGTCTTTTGATGCACGATGGGGAAGTCCATTGTGAAGGTGCCGAGTGTGTCAAAGGGAGAGCGGTTCATCTGGCAGGGGGGATTGGTGGGGGTTGGGGGATGATGAACAAGGGAAACCAGAGAACTGGAGAGCAGCGGTGAGGAGATGAGATGAGGGCGAAGTCCATGGTGAAAGTGCCGAGTGGGTCAAAGGGAGAGCGGTTCATCTGAAAGGGGATGAACGGTTGGGTGGGGGGTGGTGGGGGTGAAGGACGAGAAAGAGAGGTGCGGAGTGAGGAGTGAGAAGTGATGGGCAAGGGGA